CCCGGTGTGGAGAACGAGGAGTCCGCCGTCTGTGGAACACGGGCTTCCTGCCAGGGCCGGCTGCTCCTTGGCTGGCTGGGCCAGAGCCGGCTGCAGCCCACCTGGCTGTGCCCAGCACGCATGCGCGGCCCACCTGCTCCCGGCCAGGTCCGCGGGGTTGGTCAGTGGTCTGCGCTGGGCTGACTGACGCACGCAGCATCCCTTGGACCCAGGCCCAGGCCCCACCCCCCCCGCCCCGTGCCCTCTCTGCAAGTGATAGGGGACCTGGCTACCAGGGAGGCTCGGTGGCAAGGACCTGGCGAAGGTTCTGTGAAATGTGACTGTGATGCTGGGCTCGGGAGGGGGAAATCACCTGCCAGTGCAGGGGAACACAGAGGGACTTAGGGTGGATCCTGCCCAAGAGGGCAGCGAGGCCGGCCAGTGGAGGCTCCTCGTCACACCTGGCCTCCTGCGAGACAGGAGCGCTGGGAGGCAGCAGGGGGGGGCAGCTGGCCAGGAAGGACTCGCTGACCACCGCTAGAGGCCGGCCAGGGAGCTCCCGGGGACACGGGCCTCCTGCCACAGCTCCCCCAGGGTGCCCAGCCGGACCCCTGCGCTCACTCTGCAGGGCCGGGCAGGAATCAGCATCTGAACAAGTCCTTCATTGAATTCTCTGCTCCTGAAGTTTGAGAATCGCCAAATGTGGCACGTGATGGGGCTGAGGATGCTGGTCCCCATCAAAATACCGAGCCCAGGGGGAGGGGTGGCTTTTCCACAGGGGTAGGGACCCCCGAGAGGGGGTGGGGTGGGAGCCACTTAGCCAAGGCAAATTTCTCCATCCCACATGGGAACAGGGAGTAGCCAACCATCTTCTTAGACCCTTGGGTGGACAGGAATGGGAAGCCCAGGTTGGGGTGCTCAGCACCCCTCCGTTGGAGGAACCCGATTTTGCAAGATCCAGAGATGCCTGTGGTTTCATGATTCGGGTGGGAGCTGGTTCCTGGCCCACAGTGTGTCTTGGTGACGAGTGACACTCAGTTCCTACCGTGCACAGGACAGGACCTGCCACAGAGAAGTCTCTGGCCCAGGACCTCCTTAGTGCCCAGGCGGAGAAACTTAATCACTCAGAGCAGCTGGGTGGGTACAGGACGGACGTGGGGACAAAGCAGTGTGACTGTCCAGCCCTCTCAGCAGTGGAGAGAAACCACCACCCAGCATCATTTTGGGTTGTTTTATTTTGTTTTTTTTTTTTAAATGGAGAATTGATAAAACAGACCTTCCAAAATCCTCTAAAAAAAAAATCTTCATCACCAGATGAAGGCAATCAACATATTGAGCTCTTTTGTCAAGAACATCCAATATTTAAACGTAAGTTTCCTCACGAGTGTGAGGGCCAACCAAATAGCTCCTGGGGTTCCCCCCGATAAGCCCTGTTCACAGTGATGCTGAGCTTGGACAACCGTGAGAATGTCCTTATTTTCCTTTGTGGCCCACTGGCTGTGTGACCTTGGACAAGTGGCCTAATCTCTCTGGGCTTCTGCTTCCTTAGTTGTGAATGAAGATGGACTTAGCTCATGTGGAGGTAGTGCTGACTGTGGGCCAGGCATCTTGTATGCGTCCTCTCCCTTAGTCCCCCGGGGAAAGATGGGGTGTGAAGTGGCAGAAGGGATGAGTGGGGGTTGGTTCTCAGCAGAAGGAAGGTGAAGAGCCATCCAGGGGCACCGTGGCACGCACCTGTAATCCCAGCCACTCAGGAGGCTGAGGCAGGAGGATCACAAGATCAAGGCCAGCCTCGGCTGAACCTGTCGCAGAATAAAAAATAAAAAGGGCTGGGGATGTGGCTTGGTGATTGAGCACCCTGGGTTCAGTCCCCAGGAGTACAAAATAAAAGAGTTGCGGGGGAGAGAACAAGGAGGAGGAGGAGGAGGAGGAGGAAAAAAAAAGGGATCCAGGAAAGAGCAGGATATAGATCCGATGTCCTTCTTGGAAGAGGAGAGAGCGTGGTTGGGACCAGGAAGGAGGGCGGTGCAGAGAGGAGGTGCAGAAGAAAAGCCCAGGGTCCCAGGGCTCAGGGTCTCCATGAACAAGATGGGACTGCTCCAAGGCTCTGGGTCCAGACGTCGCCTCCTGTGCCCCAGCACCAGGAGAGACACCCCCTCTCTCAACTGGAAGCTCCGTGGCTTCTCCCTCCCCATCCTCAGAGACATTCAAGCTTCAAGCTGAAACGTCCCTTCCGATGGCCCCAAGCCACTTATGGCTCCTTGAACTTGAGTCAGAGTTGAGTAGGAGTGAAAATTCTGTTCCTCCGTGAGAGGGGCCAGGTTTCAAGTGCTCAATGGCCAGGGGGCTAGTGGCCTTAATATTGGGCGGTAAGATGTGAACAATCCGCCATCGCAGACAGTTCTAGACCCTCCCTGATCCCTGCAGAAGCAGAAGTCCCTTTGCTTCGGTTTGATGAGCCCAAGCGGCTGCAGGTGTGGCTCTGCCGGCTGAACAAGCCCAAGTAATTGACCCTGTCCTTTTTATAAATAGGCCTAATAGAAATGTGGGGTTCCTTGTTCTGTCGCCTCTGGCTTAGAATGCATATCCTGACTAGTTTTTCCTGTCTGTATTTTTTAAAGGAAAGCATCTGGGCTAGCCATCACTCAGACCTGGTTGCAAACCGCAGTTCTCTGGCTCTGTGCTTACTGTGTGACCTTGGGAAACTTATGTAACCTCTCTGGGCTCCGTTTTCTCATCTGTAAAATAGGATTTTTAATGTCCACCAAGAGTTAATGAAATACCTTCTGTTCCAGTACCTGGTATGTTCCAGAAGCTCAGAATACATTTCCCTCCTCCCTTCTCTGCTGAGACCCCATTTATGGCCATGTGATATCATCAGAGCAGGAGTTTTAGATGTGAATTGGAGCTGAATGGCACCAGGAGCCGCTCTCTCCACAGACGATTCCTCTGTTTGTCACTGTGTAGGCAAGCCATTGACTTGGGAAATGTCTGTAATCAAGAGCCACTCTGGGTTTGTTTTGGTGGCATTTTAAAGAGGGGAAGACAAAATGTTCCCTCTGATAAATGCGAACCTCTCCCACAGAAGAGCAGGAGTGGCTTTGATGTGGATCCGGGGACGACGAGGAGCCCAGCAAAGAGGGGTCTGGCTGACCCTGACTCAGCAGTGGGAGGGTCACCCCGGGCCAGGCACTCAGACGCACTGGCTCCCGGTTCTTCCCAGTGTCGTGGGCCATGGAGAACGCTGTCTTGCCCGACGTCGGGGAACCGATATCAGAGAACAAAACTGGAAGATCCCGGAGACGGGCTGGGGGAGACCGGGGCGGCCTCGGGGCGGAAGGGCTGAGGCCAGACGGGCAGTGGGAGGCCTGGATGTCCACACCCAGTCCTCGCTCCATCTAACTGGGTGTCAGCCCACGGACGGGCTTGGAGGGTCCATTAGAGATCAAGGGCAGGATGGAGGAAGCTGAGCGGTGAGGGAGTCAGGCTCTGGCTCGGGAACCAGCCTGAGTTTGCATCACTGTCACTGGCTGTGTGACGTAAGTGAGCAACTGCGCTTCTCTGAACCTCGGTTTCCTCGTACGATGCTGGTTGTGATGGTGATGATGTTGGTGATGGTGATGGTGGTGATGCTGAAGACGGTCATGGTGAAGAGGAGGAGAATGATGATAATGATGGTGGGGAGGGAGGGAATCATGAAGATGTGTTGAAGTTGAGAGTGACCATTTTAAGGTGATTTTGGTGTTGATGGTGGTGGTGGTGGTGATGGTGGAGTTGGTGGTGGTGGTGGAGGTGGTGGTGGTGGTGGAGGTGGTGGTGGTGGTGGAGTTGGTGGTGGTGGTGATGGTGATGTGGTGATGGTGGTGGTGGTGGTGGAGGTAGTGGTGGTGGTGGTGGTGGTGGAGGTAGTGGTGGTGGTGGTGGTGGTGGTGATGATGATGGTGGTGGTGATGGTGATGGTGGTGGTGATGGTGATGATGATGATAATGATGGTGGTGATGGTATTGGTGGTGGTGGTGGTGGTGGTGATGGTGGTGATGGTGGTGGTGGTGATGGTGGAGGTGGTGGTGGTGGTGATGGTGGTGGTGGTGGTGGTGGTGATGATGATGATAATGATGGTGGTGATGGTATTGGTGGTGGTGGAGGTGGTGGTGGTGGTGGAGGTAGTAGTGGTGGTGGTGATGGTGATGGTGATGGTGAGGATGGTGGTGGTGGCGATGGTGATGGTGAGGATGGTGGTGGTGATGGTGGTGGTGGTGATGGTGATGGTAATGATGATGGTCCCTGATGGTGACAGTTAGAGCCACTTCTTCAGGTGGACATGCAGGACAGGCTAGAGTGTTGGGCTTTGCTCGTGACTGACTGTGTGACCCTGAGCCGTTGGCTTCCCCTGTCACCCACGCTATCTGTAAAACTGCGCCCGCTGCCCGTCCCTCCTGTAGGCTCGCTGCAGGGTGAGCTGGGTGAAGCCCGCGCCCGGTGCACGTAGTAAGTGCTCCGTGAACGCGGCTCTCAGCGTGAACCATGATGTCACCTCTGCTCTGTTTCCTTTATTCTCAATCATTCTGGTGTCCTGAGCTGGTGGTGTTCCTAGGAAGCCCAGATCCTGGGCTGGGAAGGGCCTGTGGCCTTGCCCACTGGCCTCGTGTCCCTCCTCCCTCCCCCCCCACTGGGTACCCGGTGTGAAGTCGCCCAGGGGTCGTGACACACAGAACTCCCACAGGAGATGGCCCCCTGGGCCCCCAGGTGAAGTGCGCCGGAGAGAGATGCGAGGCACCCATGTCATGGCCATCCGGAAACAGTGTCCCCAACCTGGGTGGACACCAGGCACAGGGGTCAGCTTGGAGGAGCCTGCTTGCTGCCTGACAGGGGCTACCCCCCATGAGGGAGTAACCCTGGCGGAGCAGCAGGCGGATGTCCAGCGTTCCCAGGGAGGCGTGTGAGTGAGTCCCCGGGTCCCCTACAGATTCGGGACCTTCAGACCAAGGCCGGGAGCCTGATGTGTCCACCTTGCCTTTCAGGGACCTGGATGGCAAGTCACACCGAGCTCTGCCCCTCGGCGGGGAGAACGACCGCGTATTCAATGACCTGTGGGGCCAGGGCGGTGCACCCATGGTCCTCAACAACCCCTACTCCGAGAGGGAGCAGGTAAGTGGGGCTGCTGGCCCGCCCCGGCCTCTCCCAGTAGGAAGCAGAGGGAGCGGAGGTAGCCCCTGTTGAGAAGGAGGCCAGGGGCCCTGGCTGCAGAGCGGGGAGGCCAGGCCAGCGGGCTCAGCCGGGGATGCAGATCTGGGGTTTGTTTTATTTGATTGTGAGCTTGCCATTTTTCCCATGTTAATTCTGTTTCTACCAGGAAAGGCATTTGTGTGATTCCACATTTAAAAGAGATCAAAGATGCATCATGATACTTTCTCTCCCTTCACCTACACCCAGCTTCCCTCCCCAGACGCCAGCAACACTACTAATTTTTCTGTGTTCTTTAGCAACATCTTATGCTTAGACAAATGTGCACACACCTACTCTTTTTGTAATTTTGTATAAGAGCCCATGACACCTATTATGTTGCCCCTTGCATTCTTACTTATCCACCTGTCTAGGGGATAAATCCCAAGTAATTGAGTCCTGTGTTCTTTTTGATGACTGCATACTATTCCAAAAGGAAGTCCTTCATGGCGGACACTTGGCTCATTGCCAGTCTTGTGACAGGGCTGTTGGATAGAACATTGTGCCGATACCTCATGTGGCACACCAGTGGGTTTATCCACAGAATAAATTCCTCTTTGTGAAATTGTTGAGTCAGAGGTCATGAGCGTTTATGGTCTATGAGTGGAAGCTGCCAGAAGATGCGCTCTAGACATCACTGCCACCCCTCCAGAGACGTGGGAGCCTGACTGTTTACCCACAGCCTCGCCAGCTCCATCTGCCATCAAACATCCTGGTCTTTGTCAATCGGCTGAGAGGTGTTGACAGCTGAGTCAGTATCCCTTTCCAAGAGTGGCTCGGTCTGGCTGGAGATCAGAGCGCCTTTTCCCTCTCTCGCCCAGGAAGAGCCAGGCCAGGCCCCAGCAGCCCCGGAGGGCCTGAGAGCTTCCCGCCTGCCCTCTGCACCTCTGTAGAGATGGACGGACCAAGGGGCGTCTGGAGGGGTGGCCCAGGTCTCTCAGCCTGGGGGCCTGGGTCTCTGCCTCTGCACTTGATCTCGAGGTGGCCCCTTGAGCACCAGCTCATCAGAGCCCGGCCTCTCTGCAGAGCTCTGGAGGGCATTCCTGGTGGAGTGGCCTTCGCTGGCTGCTAACGGCTGGACAGAAAACAGGACTCCAGGGATCCTGTTGTGGGCCAGGCCGTGATCCCGCCGGTGGACTCTGCGACAATACCTGGGCATGTCAGGTGGGAGGGCACGATCGTACCCTCTGACGATATGTCCTCAAACATCAAGGCCACGCTGGGGCTGGGGGTGCAGCTCAGCAGGAGAGCTTGGGTTTGGCACGTGCAAGGCCCTGGCTTCAGTCCTCAGAGCCCGGAAAGGAAACAAGGCCCACCTTGTGCGGGTCCGGAATTCATCATTGTCTCAGACTTTTACACAGAAGTATTCGTAGCTTTGGTTTTAAATGTGCACCATCTGGCCTTACTGGGCTTCTCTTCCTATGGGACGGCTGTTCTGCGGGGGCGAGTATCAGCTGCCCTCTCTGGCAGGGCATGGCTCTCCGACAGGCCGCACTCCCCACCACCCCTTACTGCCCCTCTCATTGAGACCATGTGTCCCAGAGGGGACTGAGAGGCCAGCTCCATTTTCTGGGAGAAGAAGAAAAAGATTCTGAGGGTCTGAGTCCTCTGAGGCCCAGGAGCCCCGGGCAGAGAGACTTGGGATTTAAGTTCACCGCGTGACTTGACGTCCGGCCCTCGGCCTCGTCCACCCACCACCCAGTGACACTCAGAGCCACGGGCTGTGCGTCTGAGATGCGATTTCCCAGATGCCTCTCAGACACAGGGCGAGAAGGAGGCAGGGACCCAGGGCTCGGCCCTGTTGGAGCCCCAGGTTCAGGGCTGAGGAAACTGCCCGGTTCCCCCCTGATGGGCCCCCCCACAGCCACCAGCTCCAGAACTGTCCCCCAGATGAGCAAATTAATGAAAACCACGGTTCTCGTCCTCTGTCCTGAAGGACGGCCTCCCTTACGCAGCCTCCACTCTACCTAGAATCAGCTTCCCTCCTCCCAGTTCCAATGATTTCTGCTTTTTAAAAATTGATTGATTTTAAAGCCTCCACAGAGGCTGAGCATTGTTCATAACACCAAGGGGGGGACCCGGCCACTACCTGCTTCTCTCAGTCAGGAAGGGGCAAGAGGCATTTCAGGAGCTTCATGTTTCCCCAGGACCAGGCAGAAAGGAACAGCGTGCCAGTGAAGCAAGGCAGACGCAGGTTAGACAGGAGAAGGAACTTTCTGACTCCTAAGACTGTTAGTTCTCCAAAAGAAAAAAAAAAACAGAGTGAAGTCCATCCCTTTGACCCAAAAGAGATTCCCATCATCTGTGAAGCTCCTGATTGTCTAAAGTCAAGGAGAATCAGACACACAGACACCTCTTTTTAAAAAAACAATCTCAGAAAGCTGAGCTGTTCATGTTTATCCAGGTGTCATGTCTCTTTGCTTGATATCCGTGGTTGATGGAATGAATCTCTTCAGCCCTCACCATGAGTCCTCCCCAAACCTCAGTACGCACAGCCAGGCACGGAAGGAAAGACGGAGGCAGACGCCCCTGTCTTTGAGACCCTCCCAGTCACGTGTAGGGTGACAGAGGCATATACGGTGGCAATGGGTCTTAAAAGAGAGAGGGACACAAAATGTCCTGCGACTTAAACACCTTAGCAGCTACCGGCAAGGATTAGACCCCAAGGAGTGCCTTAGGCCTGGGTTTTGAGGATCGAGTAGGAGTCCGCCCACAAGAGAGAGGAGAAATGCATTATGGGAAGAGGCATGTCCCTGGCTGATACAGCCCGGGGCTCCCAGGGGTGCAGCAGGACTTGACCCCAGGCCACGGATCAAAAGCCACTCCACAGGCTCAACCCCAGGCTCAGGACTTCCCGGTCGTCATTCTTATTCTCGTTTTGCTAGTTATTCTGCTGCTCTCATGAGGCAGAGAGGACAAGAGGCACGTTCCTGTTGTACACAGGACACCCTGGGGACCCCCAAACAGAAAGGGACCACCGTTTTGTGACAAATCTGTGACGCACTCCCTTCAAGGTTACGTCACCGTCCTTGTCCATCATCCGAGTCAGTGCTGCAGGCCTCCTAGGGCCGAGCTCTGGGATGTCCAGGCAGAGGGTCAGCAAGGTAGCCGGGGACAGGCAGGAGCTTTGGCAGCCTGGATTCCCAGCCCAGCTCCGTGGTGGGTGACGGAGCCCCTTCGCCTCTCAGACCTGTTTCCTCATCTAAAAAACGGGCGACTGATGATTCAATGAGCCAGTGGACGTGCAGAGGTCCAGCCCAGGGCTGAGCATCCAGGAGGCATTCACTAAAGGTAGCTGGAAAGGAAAGAAAATTTGGGGGGGAGGGTACCAGGGATTGAACTCAGGGGGCACTCCACCCCTGAGCCCCATCCCCAGCCCTAGTTTGTATTTTATTTAGAGACAGGGTCTCTCTGAGCGGCTTAGGGCCTCACTTTGGCTGAGGCTGGCTTTGAACTCACAATCCTCCTGCCTCAGCCTCCCAAGCCGCTGGGATGACAGGCGTGCGCCACCACGCAGGGCAAGGAATGTGGTCCTGCCCTAGCCATCATCTTTTCATCAAGTATCTGCCTTGACTTCTGGAACCTTCTGCCCCTAAGACAAGCTGCAGACGTAGCCACACGTAGCAGGCACGGCACCGACGTCACCCTCAGAGCCCACCTGGCTGGCTTTAGCAGACCCCACAGGCACCATGCGGGTGACCTCTCAGGGTGCCTGTGGGGTACCCCTTTCCCCAGGCCTCTCTCTAACCTCCTGTGTTTTGATCCCTCCCTATGGAGGGTCCCCAGACCCCAAGCCCCCCACCTGGGCTCAGGCCCACTGCCCCGTGTCTCATCCAGCTCAGGCCAGAGCTGGGCACCCACGTCACTTAATCAAGAGCCCCGCAACAGGTCCTGCCACCCTGGGGGTCGGAGCCCGAGCGGAGCCGGGAAGTGTTTGGGTGCAGCCCTGCTGGTGTTTCCATGTATTTTATAACTGTTTGTTTTTTTTTTTTTTTTTTTTTTTTTTTTTTAATTTTTTATTGTTGGCTGTTCAAAACATTACATAGTTCTTGATATATCATATTTCACAATTTGATTCAAGTGGGTTATGAGCTCCCATTTTTACCCCATATACAGATTGCAGAATCACATCAGTTACACATCCATTGATTTACATATTGCCATACTAGTGTCTGTTGTGTTCTGCTGCCTTTCCTATCCTCTACTATCCCCCTCCCCTCCCCTCCCCTCCCCTCCCCTCCCTCCCCTCTTCTCTCTCTGCTCCCTCTACTGACATTCGTTTGTCCCCCTTATATTATGCTAAGTGAAGCTAGCCAATCCCTAAAAAACAAATGCCAAATGTCTTCTTTGATATAAGGAGAGCAACTAAGAACAGAGTAGGGTCGAAGAGCAGGAGAAGAAGATTAACATTAAACAGGGATGAGAGGTGGGAGGGAAAGGGAGAGAGAAGGGAAAATGCATGGAAATGGAAGGAGACCCTCAGAGTTATAACTGTTTGTTTTAACAGCTGAGTGTCGAGTCGATTCAATGCAGCCTGTCCCAGCCGTTATCTGGGCGGGACAGGACGTTCTGGCTGGGAAATCAGGGCTACTCCTCCGCATGCTGTCCGGCCGCCTTGCCCCGGGATCAAAGTGTCTGCCATAAAGGATGACAGGGCCAGAGAGGTCTTTTGCAAATCAACATCCACTGCCAAAACCCCGTCCAGAGACCCTTAGAGAGGTCAGGGGAGACCTTTGCTGAGGATCCCAGGATCTTAAATCTAAAACTGACTGTGCGTTTCCAAGGTTCACATTTAACAGGACGCACAGATCGACGGGATACCATGGGGAGACGCCGCAAGACCGTTGCAGGATGCATTTTTAAAATGGATTTCTAGTGTACTTTTACAGTCTGGTCTGGTGATGGGAATTAAGCTTAGAGTCTGGTCACTTCTGACTGCTGGGGTCTTGCTTGATTTGGAGAAAACATCAACAATCCAGTTCAAAGTCCCCTTCAGCCCGGCATGGTGGTGCACTCCTGTGATCCCAGCGGCTCAGGAGGCTGAGGCAGGAGGATCGTGAGTTCAAAGCCAGCCTCAGCAACTTAGGGAGGCCCTAAGCAACTCAGTGAGACCCTGTCTCTAAGAAAATACAAACTAGGGCTGGGATTTGGCTCAGTGATATAGTACCCCTGAGTTCAACCCCTGGTAACCCCCCACAAAAAAGACCCCCTTACCAGAGAAGATCCTTGCACCCCCTCCACTCCCGAAACATGACAGGTCTAATTCCCGAGCACCCCGATTCCCCTCACACTGAAGCACATGGACGTGAATTGGTGGGGGGTGGTGTCAGAATAAGTCTTCACTCACTTCCTACCAAGTAAATAATGAATCACTTTGGACACAACACCTTGGGCGCATCACAGGGAGATCATACTCCCAGGTCCCAGTAAGTTACAATCTCTAAGTGGCAGGTTTTCATTGCGTGGACCGGTGGGGACCTGCGGCTCCATAGGTCTGCGGGCCTGGGCCCTGAGCTGCCACCGCTTGGCGCCAGGTTAGCTTGCTGCCCTGGAGAACTGCACCCACAGGTGGGCGTGGTGCTGCCCGGAGCCGCAGCAAAGGGCACCGTGTGTGGCTTCTGGCCCCTGGTGTGGGTGGCCTGCTGCCCAGCCCGGCTCCAGCATGCTCCCCTCATTGGGGGCAAGCCAAGCAGGGCAGGTTGCCGTGGCCTGTGATGGAGGACGTGGTGGCCGGTGCCAACAGTGTGAGACTCAGAAGGCGCCAGCCTTGAACAGCTTAGGCCTGAGCGTCCCTGTGTGTGCGCCACGGCTGCCCGGGCAGTTACCACCAGCCGGGCAGCAGACCGCCTCACAGCTGGGGAGGCCAGGACTCCAACGCCAAGGCCGGGTGGGCTGGTCCTCCTGAGGGCCGTGAGCGGGGCTCATTCCAGGCCTCTCTCGGTGCCTCGCACACCACCTGACGGTCTGCCTGCGCCTGGGTGTCCATCTCCAATTTCTCTCTTATTCTAAGGACGCTGGTTATTTGGGGATCAAAGACCATCTTAGAGACCTCACTTTAAATGAGGACCTCCATCCAGACCCTCCCTCCAGCCAGACGCAGGGGAGGGGGGGGACGCACACCTGTCACCCCAGCAACTTGGGAGGTTGAGGCAGGAGGATCGCTATAGGCAAGACCAGCGTCAGCAATAAGCAAGACCCTGTCTCAAAATTTAAAGGACTGGGGACGGGGCTGCCTGGAGGAGCACTTATCTAGCATGTGTAAGCCCTGGGTTCCATCCCCAGGGGGAAAAAAAAGGCCTTATCCCCAAATAAGGTCACATTTGGAATTATTGGGGTTCAGGAGATCAGTGTATGGATTTGGAGGGACACAGCTCCTAGGACGGTCTGAGTCTCACAGATGTCTCCTCCCCTCGTGGTGGCTCCCAGACCTGGGGTCCCCAGGAGACTCGTGCCAGTGATCCCCACTTGGGCACGGCAGGCCCTGGGCCTGTCCCCGGCTCTTCCTGGATCTGGGTTGAGTGTCCACTTCCTGCCGCCCTCCGATCCCCTCGACCCGCGGCCGTTCCCCACCCTGGTGGCCTCTCCGCACTGTTGCCGCAGCTTCTCTGGGGACCTCTCTGCTTCCTGTGGCCCCCACAGCCGTGGACGCCTGGTGTCTGGCTTAACAATGGCTCCTTGTCACAGTTTTCGACTCCGCCATGGTGTGAGAGCAGTCAATAGAAATCAGAATTTGGGTTTCAATTCGGATCGTTTCCTGGGTTCAGATGCATCTGTCCCCAGGCTGAGCAATGACATGGAGCCTCGGCTCCCATAAGCCACTTAGTCCCGAGGCCAGCAACCCACCCTCTGCCGGGTGCTGTGTTGCTGAGCTGGGCGGCTGGATGCAGTCTCTGTTCATATGCTAGTTTCCACTCAGGACGCACTGGTCGGTCATGTCCCCGTGGCTGGTCGTGGAGCACCTGTGTTCCTGACACTGGCTTCCATGTGGTCACTCGCTCAGTTAGGCAGCCTCGGGCTCCTTTGTCCTCCATTCAGTCCAGCCCACAGCCCCGGGCCAAGCATGAAGGATCTCTGCAATTTCAAAGTCCATGCCGACTTTGTATGAGCGCTCAGGCGGAGGCCCCAGAGGACCGCAGGCCAGAGGCTCAGACCACGGGAAAGTGCTGTCTATGGTTCTGGAGCCTTCAAAGTCCGCAGAGCATGGAGCAGCTCTGTGCCGACTACTGTGCCATCTAATAGGAGGCTCTTGAGCACCCGTGATATGGCCATCCCGTGAGGGACCTGGACTCAATCCCCTGAGTTAGCCAGCCACCACTGTCACCAAATACCCGACCGGGATCTCGAGGAGGAGAAGCGTGTTTGGGCTCACGGCTTCAGAGGTTCAGTCCGTGGCCGGCCGAGCCCATTGCTCTGGTCTAAGGTGGGGCAGACCATCGTGGCGGAAGGGCGTGGGCGGCCAGTGCTACTGCATTCATGTTTGTCTGTGAACATTTCCTGCATCATCACCAGGGCGGCTGGGGGACACCTTTTGTCACTGTCAATCTGATCCATGCAAATCCCCAGCAAGAAGGTTCGTAGGTAGAGACTAGAGGTCCGTGGCCCCCACTGTGCCCTCGCGATCGCAGGCGGGGTGAGTGCTGGGGAGCTGTTTACAGCATGCGAAGGTGGCAAGGGGACAATATCTGGACCGGGGTGCTGTTCTAAAGAAGGTTCAGGAAAGACCTCCGACCCCGCGGCCCGTGAGCCCTCTGCGGGCAGCCAGTGCCGCTGGGCTCTCCACGCCGCTAGTCGGCAGACTTTTGCTAGAAGGGACGATTTTTTTAAAAATCCTTGTGTCTTTGTGGACATCCGATCTTGGTCCCCACCTGTAGTTCAAGAGAAGCCATCGACGTGTGGGAATGCATGGATGTGGCAGTGTCCCCACAAAACTCTGGGGACCCTGAAATTGGAACTCGATGTAGCTCTCACGGATCCCAAGACGGAATTCTCATATCCAGCGACATGACTCTTCTTATATTCAATGACCTCAGAGGAGAGTAACCATCCTTGGCTCGTGGGCTGTGCAGAAACAGGCCTCAGGCCGGGTCCAGCCCCAGGCTGCTCCCGGGTGGACGAGCCGGGGTCTAGCCTAAGGGCCAGAGGCCTCCCTGCCTCCTTTGGGCTGAGGCTGTGAGACCTTTTCCTCGGGCTCCTGCCGAGTCCTTAAGCAACCAGGTGTTGACAGAGCCTCCCAACGTCCATGAGCCCAGGGACTCTTGTGCCAATTTAGGAGGAGGTGTCCCGGGAGCCCTGCCCTGCTCCCTCCCAGGACAGCTGGTGTCTCCCACCCCCTGAGGACTTACAGGTGTGAAGCCGCAGCCTGGAGCCCAAATGGGCCCGGTCCCCGACACCGTGACCTCTAAGGACCGCTCGTCTGCATTTTGAACAGGCACTCTCAGGTCCGCACTCAGAGAAGCCATCTGCATCCTGTACTAATGTCCCCACTTGTCCCCTCCTGAGTCATCCAGTATCACTGCTGGCTCATTAAAACATCAAAGCCCCGACTACAGCGGCTACAGCGGCCCTGCCAGAGGGCTCCTAAGGCCTGGTCTCAAGTGTGCGATGCAGCGAGGCCCAGTGGACGGGATGGGGCGGACGCACCCGGGCTGCCGATTCCACGGCTCTTCACGGCTGCTCCTCGCACATCTGGAGCCTCAACAGACGGCCTCCTTGATTAGGGCCTGCTCTCTCCCCCGCCCCCTGGCCACCCCACACCCGCTCCCCCCAGCCATCTGCCCTCCACCCTCCTGACACAGGCCCAACCCCGACCTCAGCACCCAGTCTGTCACCCCCTCTCTGGGTGACCTTCCATACGGAGAAGCAGGAAGACCTTCCATACGGACAAGTAGCTCCCTGCACCCCTCAAAGATGTCAACTCACTCCAAGGAACGCCTTGCTCTAAAGGCCTGCTCTGGTGGGTCACCATCAGTGCCGGGCCGCCGGGAGACACGAGAATGTTCGTTGGTGCTTCATTTGGAGACACAAGCAAAATGACTTGGGGTCCAGCAGGGAAGAAAGTACGAGGAGGGGACAAAAAGAACAAACGCCCCACCCCGTGCTGCCCACTGTGGCTTTAGCACAGTCCGTTTTCTGTTGCTATGGCTGAGTGGCAGAGGCGGGGCATATTATAAAGAAGAGGGGTTTGTTTGGTGCATGATTCTGGAGGCCGGAAGTCCCAGAGTGTGGCGGCAGATCTGCTCAGCATCTGGTCACACCTGCTGGCTCAGCTCTCTCTTATAAAGTCACTAATGCCACCGTGAAGACCTTGCCTCCCTGAGCTCATCCTGGCTTGATTTCTTCCCCGCGGCTCCATATGCAAACACCTCCCAGTCCCAGTGGAGACGGTTCTTCAGTTCCCTCAAGACCCTGCCTGATGCCCCACCTCTGTTCTCTCCTCTAGCCCCCTGCCTCGGGGAGACAGTCCCCCACAAAGAATGGCAGCCCCTCCAAGTGCCCTCGCTTCCTCAAGGTCAAGAACTGGGAGACGGACGTGGTTCTCACCGACACCCTCCACCTGAAGAGCACCCTGGTGAGTTCCCCAGACACTGTCCAGCATCCCCTGGACGGGCTATTTGTCCCTGCTTGAGGACAGCTGATGGATACCCACTCACTTCTCTAAATGCTTTTTATCTGAGCACTTTGTTCCCAAGAGAAGTGAAGGGGCGTGGTCAGTCTGACCACCGATGAAGTACCGAACAAACCCTGCCCTGATTTCACACTGGGTCCTCTAAACTTCTAGATCCTATTTTTTAATAGTGTCAACACACCAACACATTCCTTTAAGTTTGGGTCAGAAAAGGGCCTTTTGGAGAAATGTATCTGTTAGTAACTGCTGTGTAACAAACTGGCCCAAAAATTCAGTGACTGAAAACAACCACTGTTTATTACTTTTGAAAAATCTCTGGATTAGCTGGGTGGTCCAGCCAATCGGAACCGGACACCCTTGATCTTAGTGAGGTTGTATCATGTGCCCGCAGCCACCTGAGGGGACAGCTCAGGGCAGGCTGATTTGGGATGGCCCTGCTGAGGTGACTCTATTGTGCATGTTCTCTCCTTTTCCAGCAAGCCAGCCTGGACTTGCTTGCATATGGAGGCTGGGCTTGGGCATGGTGCAGGGCCGTTTCTGCCCACTCTGTGTGGGCCAAAACTAGCCTAGATCCAAGAGATGAGGACATACAGTCCCCTCTTGATGGGGAGCCGCTATCAAACCACACTCCAAAGAGAATTCAGGGAAGGAAAGAATTGGGGTCATTTTTGCAATTAATCTATCAGAGACGTGTCCAAATGAGCTACTGTCCCCTCTGTTAGAATGAGAAAGTATCCTGGGGTCTAGTTCCAGTGATTCAGATTGGTAGTCAAAACACTCCTGATCCCCTAACTGACCTTCCGGAACCTTACATTGTGACTTGCTGTCCCTTACGTTGACTGAGGACCATGTCCAACAATGACAGGAAGCTGGTCGTTGGCACCAAGGGCCAGGTTAGCTCTGCCCTGAGTACCAGATCCTGGCCCCCAGCCCAGCACCCGCCGATCTTGGGGGAAACCAGGCCATAGCCCAACCTCTCTCTCTCCCTTCCAGGAGACAGGCTGCACGGAGCACATCTGCATGGGCTCCATCATGCTGCCCTCTCAGCACACGCGAAGGCCCGAAGACGTCCGCACCAAGGATCAGCTCTTCCCCCTCGCCAAGGAGTTTATCGATCAGTACTACTCATCCATTAAGAGGCAAGTGTGGGCAGGGCACCGGGGCGCACACCTGTCATCCCGGTGACTCCGGAGGCCGAGGCAGGAGGATCGTGAGCTCAAAGCCAGCCTCCGCAACTTAGTGAGGCCCTCAGCAACTCAGGGAGATGAGACCCTGTCTCTAAAGGAAATGTTAAAAGGCCAGGGGATGTGGCTCAGTGGTGAGGGCTGGGGACAAGATGTCAGCTGCAGCTTTGCAAACCCCAAGTTCGAGGCCTTAGCCCGCCAGTCACAGGGTGGAAAGCTGGTAGCCCACGGGCCAAACCTGGCCCCCAGATGGGCTCTTATTTGACCAGTGAAAGGGTTTCTTAGACTCTGGAGTATTTCTTGCAATTGCACACCTGGAGGGAAACTCCCAGCTGTGGTTTGTGAGCATGCAAAGAAGGGCAAGGTCACAAACACCACGGACAGTAGGAAAGATCACCATTGAAGAACCTTCCAGAAATCACCTTGGCTCCATCCACAGTCCAGACATGGAATCCAGGCTCCGTATCCCTTCTCCGAAATGTTCTGCACCAGACGTATTTTGGGTCTCAGAGTTTTTCGGATTTTAAAATATTTGCATCGACTTTACCAACTGAATACCCCTCATCTGAAAATCTGAACCCCAGGGGCTAAGGTGTCCCTCGGTGGTAGAACACGTGTGTAGCGGGTGCTGGACGCTGGGTTTCAGCTGGGGACCTGGGTGCTCATTACACTGTTCTGTAGAGCTGCCTTCTTAGGAGTCTAAAAGTTTCCAAAGTGATTTTTAACTGTCTGAAATTGAAGGCATTCCCAACATTGGAAACTCAGAAGAGCTCCCTTTAAAACTAGGACTTTCCAGTTTCTGTTGAGCAAGACCCGGCAGCCTTGGGTCCCCTCGCCTATCAGGGAGCAGTTGGCTGGGGCACAGTCACGGCTGCCCCCCAAGGACAAGGCTCAACGCGGTCCCCACCCGGCTGGTTTCATCTACACACCCCGCCGAGCCCTCGTGGGCACCTGAGTGTACAGTCTCTGCTTTATGCTCTAACTGTCGCATGCAGCAGTCGACGGGGGACTTCCTGTGGCCCCCAGTGTCCTATCATAGCTGGTCCCTCCCACCCTCCTCTACTTCAGAAGAGGGGGTAATGACGTTGGTTAGCTTTCCGTCCCTGTGACAAAACACCTGAGAGGATCAACTTAAAAGGAGGAAAAGGTTTGTTTGTGCTGATCATTTGAGTCCACGGGCGCTCGGCCCCTGTGGCCTGTGGCCAGGCAGCTCATCAGGGTTGGAGAGCAGGAGGAGGAGGCCCCTCACCTCATGGCACCTGGGAAACAAGGGAGGGAGGGAGGGCGCCCCCCATGACCTCACTTCCTCCCACCAGGCCCCGCCTCCTACAGGTGCCCCACCTCCTAGTAGAGTCCCGGGCTGGCGGGAGACCTTAGGGGGCGCTTCACGCTCCTCTTCTCCCAACTCAGGTTTGGCTCCAAGGCCCACATGGACCGGCTGGAGGAGGTGAACCGGGAGATCGACAGCACCAGCACCTACCAGCTCAGGGACACCGAGCTCATCTACGGGGCCAAGCACGCCTGGCGCAACGCCGCCCGCTGCGTTGGCAGGATCCAGTGGTCCAAGCTGCAGGTGGGAGACCCCTTGGGGACACCTTGGGGAGGGGACGAGAGAAAGAGGGCAGGTGGAGCTTTGGAAAGGCCCCCGTTGGCCCTAGTGACCTATCACCTGGTGGTCACAGGGCCCACACTCCCAGGTCACAGCCGCATCCTGACTAGAGCCATGTCCCCTGGGCACCCCGGCTGACCACAGACCCCACCTCTCCCTTCAGCCTCCCGCCCACCTCCCTTACTGACCTTCTCCACATCCCCCCTGACCAGTCCGTTTCTGTCCTGCTGACCTGATTGGATTCTAGGGAAGATCTCCTCGTGGGCAGTAGATTCGTTATCAAGGTCGGGGTTTAGAGTTTGATTTTTGTTTATTTTGTTTTTTAATCCCTCAGTCCTAGTCCCCAACAGAAAACGTAGCCATCTCATTAAAACGCCCCCTGTATTGAGTGTCCCCTTCGTCACATTCGCTTGCACTCTGGGAGACTTTTCCTAGTCTGATTGACGTTGCTTATGAGCATAGAAGAAAGAAAACATAAAAGTTTGCCTGGGACTCAGAATGAGGTGCCTGCCACTCCAGAGAGGGGGCCCTTGGGTGGGCTCTGGGAAAGGGGGAGACGGCCGTCAGTCCCACCCGGCATCTCTCCCAGGTGTTCGATGCGCGCGACTGCACCACGGCTCACGGGATGTTCAACTACATCTGCAACCACGTCAAGTACGCCACCAACAAGGGCAACCTCAGGTGAGGGACCTGCTCGGGGGGAGGGGGCCTCATGTCCCCACGGCGTGGAGTCGGCCACACTGAGACAGATGTGCAGCCCTTCCTTGCCCACACCAAGTGTCCCTTCTCCTCTGGGGCAGTAGTATCCCCTGGGGTTTGCAAAACTGCAACCACGAACGTCCCACTCAGCCCTCACCCAGGAGGAGCCTGAGAAAGGTTGTTGGATCTGGGATCCGCACACAGCACCAGCCTCACACCCGCTCACGGGCTGTGACTCTGGTGTCACTAAACACGACTCTGTATGTACATCACACAACGCGCTGGGTCTGCTGCTCAGGGATGCGTCACGCGCGGGAGGGAGGAGTGACTCATCCTGGGCTCCTCTCCGCCGCGGCCCTGAGAGACGTTTTGCTCAGAGATTCTGAAGAGCGCTGAGACCCTGTGTGGTTTTCACCTGGCCTCCCGCGCACCCCAACTTTCATACCGAAGGGGGACGCCCCACTCCTGCAGTATAATAATGGGGCCCTCTTTTGCATAAAGGGGGGAGGACCTCAAGTTGAGCTCACAAAGCAGCAAAGCGGTGGCCGTTGCCAGGGTCAGCAGGGCCCAGGCTCCTGCAGGAGGAGATCCACCCGTGGGAGGAGATCTACCAGCCGCGGGGGGACCTGAGATCCCTGTGTTGACAGGAGAACCCAGGGCAGGGTCCCCGCGGCCAGGAATCAGTTCCCTTGATGGAACAGGGGACTCCAGGCAGCAGGAAGAGCTCGGGGCAGAGGATATCATGGGGCACGGGTGGAAAAGTCATCCTGCTTCAAGTCTGCGTTTTTCTTCTTCCGTCCTTCCCCTGTGCCAAGGAGCAAAGCCCCATCCTGTGACACCCTTCACCCTTGGGTAACCGTGGGCTCATCCCGCCACACAGCGGGCCCTGCACTGAGATGAGTTTTGCAAAAGGGACTCAGAGTAGGTCTCAAATCTGCCTCCCCGATGACAGGGTTAGAGGACCTCGGTGGCTGAGGTGTGCAGAAAGGGGATTGGAGAGTAATGAAGAGCAGGAGGAGCAGGTGGAGAGGGTTCACACAGGTGTGTCCTAGGTTTCAAAGGAAGGCTGGTTGTCCGGTTGGTGGCGCACGCTAATCCCAGCACCTCTGGAGGCTGAGGCAGGAGGATCGTGAGTTCAAAGCCAGCCTCAGCAACTCAGGGAGGCCCTAAGCAACTCAGTGAGACCCTGTCTCTAAATACAAAATAGGGCCAGGGATGTGGCTTGGTATTGGTCAGGTGCCCCTGAGGTCAATCCCAGTACCCAAAAAAGGGAAGGCTGGTGGTAGAAGAACAGAACCTAGAATCCCTATGTGCTGTGACTCGGGGGTCCCACGGCTCCCTGGAGATGGCGTGTGCAGAACTCCCCGGAGGACTGGCCGACGTCAGGATTCTTGTGCCCTGGAGACAGGGATGCAGAGCCCCTGGCTCTGAACCCATCCTCCTGCCCCCCACCTCCACTGGCCTCCACCCTCCGCACACCAGGGGCTCCAGTGGAGAGGTGACGTCCCCTCCTTCCAACAGCTAGTCCATTGACCCTGGGGACCTGGCACAGACGTGATCCACCCTGAGCCTGTTGGTCTGGGCAGCACCGTTTCGAGTGTGTCCCCAGAGCACACGGCTCCCCCTGACACCGGCTCTCCTCCCCTGGCCCCACAGGTCGGCCATCACCATCTTCCCTCAGAGGACGGACGGCAAGCACGACTTCCGCGTGTGGAACTCGCAGCTCATCCGCTACGCCGGCTACAAACAGCCCGACGGCTCCACCCTGGGGGACCCGGCCAACGTGGAGTTCACAGAGGTGCGAGCACGGTGTCCCCACCCACCCACCCCGTCCACCCGGGCTCAGGGCCCCGAGCTTTCTTTTCTGGTTTGATGGGCAGCCTTTGGGACACAGGGTGCCCTTCTAAAGACTGGCCGCTGCCCTCCGTCCCCGTCCTCCGGCTCTTTCACGGTTGGGCATTGGGTCACCTTGGTGTCACGTCCTCACCCCCAGCCTCCTGGCAGAAACTGTGGTCCCATTTCACAGGTGGGCGCTGGGAGCAGTTATCCAAGGGAGCCAAATAGGTCAGGGGAAGGCGGGGACCGCAGGGCAAAGCTCGTCCCACCAGGAGGAGAGACGCCGGCAGAGGAAGCCCGTCGGGGCACCTTGGCAGGGTCGAGTGATGTCTCCAACTCGAGGCACCACTCACGTTTCTGCCACTGTTGGACACAATTTTGACTCTGCTGGGCACCAGCCTATAAAAGCCACCAGGAGAGCCACCACCACCCGTCCCCACCCAGGGTTCCTTCCAGGTGGGCCTGTGGGTGGGCACCCCCTGCATTGACCACCCAGCCCGCCCCAGGTGAGCTTCTCTCCGCGCCCCCTGGCTCCAGCCCCTGCCAGGCCCGAGGGTGACTCAGCTGCTACCCCTGGGTGCTGGCTTCGCCTGCAGGTGGCTTTTCTTATTAAAATGTGATTCTCCTGAGAAGGGGGCTGTCTCCAGGGCAACCAGAGCTGCACCTGTGTGCTCATGGCCCAGCCAGGCACCACTTGGCTGAGCGGAAGGTGCACTTGGCCTTGCCCCTGCCTCGAGTCGGCAGAACGGCCCCCTCCTCAGCTCAGCCTTCCAACCGTCCGGCCAGCGCACCCCTCCTGAGCCAGGAGCCAGCGCCTCCCCTCTCGGTCCCTCCCTCGCCACCCTCTAGCCCCGCGCTGTCCAGAAGGGCAGCTGCAAGCCGTGGGTGGCCCCTGAGCGCCTCGTATGTGGCTAGTGCAAACCGGGATGTGCCTTTAGTGAAGGTGCCACCACATCTCTGAGATTCAGTATTCCAAACACAGGGGGCTGGGTGCCTGGCGCACACCTGTCATCCCAGCGTCTCCAGAGGCTCAGGCAGGGGGACTGTGAGTTCAAAGCCAGCCTCAGCCACTCGGTGAGGCCCTGAGCAACTTTTCAAGAACGTGTCTCTAAATGAAAAACAAAATGGGCTGGGGAGGTGGCTCAGTGGATGAGTGCCCCTGAGCTCAATGTCCAGTACCACAAAAATAATAATAATGATAATAATAATCAGTGGAAAAGAGCTCACTGATGGCTCTTGTGTTGGTTGGGGACGTGGCTGAGGGGCAGATATCTGCCTGGCAGAATCCCCGGCACCACAAACATCACAAACAGGTGGGAGCCTGACTATTTAAAGTTTCAATATTTTGTTCAAAATATATGCATTGATTCCAGATTGAAACGATAATGATGGAGGTACGGCAAGCTACTATGTTCATAAAAAACTAGCAACCTTACTGGATAAATATATGTTTGATTTTAACATTAACGTTTCAACATGAATATTAATATTCTAGCGATTTAAATACCTTCGCTTTAACCATTTATCATGGATCAGTTAGTGTTGATCTTTAGTGTGTCTCGTTGTTACATAGTACCTCTATTCGATATGATTTAGACGAAAGTTAGCAATTTCATTTTACTCTCAAATGGATCACTTAGAATAGATGGATACTTTAATACAGGAAGAATATTCACATAAAGTGCTTGCATTCAAATAAATATGTGAATAAAATGGTTTTCACCCCTTTTTTAATGTAGCTGCTAGAGTTAGTCACTCATGTGGCTCACATCAAATATCTATGGGGCAGCTGCCCTAAAAAAAAGTGTGTTCTAGACGGTGATTCTTCACCACAGGGAGCAGACCTTCTTTGCATCTTGAGGCCTCTAAGGTCACGTGACAGACCCCTGACAGAGCCAGCCCAGGACAGACGCCAGGATTGGCCAGCTCTTCCCTTCCCCTCTGGGAGCCCCCAGGGGGCACAGAGGACCCTGGAGATGTAAAGCTCCCTGTTGGAGCAGAGGCTTGCCCTGTGTCCTGGGGGGCCACAAGGCAAGGCCAGGGGGACCCTCTGTCCCGTGGCAGTGCCCTCTGGGGACTCGCGTTGGGGTCTCTGCTCAGCCCTCAGCCCCACCCCCCCCACCGGGCTGGAGGGCGCAAGGCGCCGAGCTGACCGAGGGGTCTGTTTGCAGATCTGCATCCAGCAAGGCTGGAAGCCCCCACGGGGCCGCTTCGACGTGCTGCCCCTCCTGCTGCAGGCCAACGGCAATGACCCCGAGCTTTTCCAGATCCCGCCCGAGCTGGTGCTGGAAGTGCCCATCAGGCACCCCAAGTAAGAGGGCTGGCGTGGGGGGTGGGGGGTCCCCGGGCCCCTCTCCGCCCAGCCTTAGTCCCCTGGCTCCCTCTGCAACCCAGACAGGGGTTCCCAGGGGTCTTGGTTCCTCCCTGTGGGCTTGGGCAACGTGGGTGCCCTCGGGGGCCATCCTGAGAACAGCCAGCCGTGGGAAGTGGACCCAGGGAAGGTCAAGTTCAAAGGGCACCTGGTGCTGGGAGGAGCATTTGCACTTGGAGAGGGAAGAAATTCCACCCCAGGCACCAGGCTCAGGGAGAGGACCAAGGGAGGTCGATAAAAAACTCAATACGTAAATGCCGTGTGTTTCAGAGATCTAACTCAACTCTTTTTTGGTTTATTTTTTTGTTTTTTAAATCCACAAAGAGCCACAGACCAACATTTTAAATAAAAGCAGGATTCAGCTCAGAATTGAGATTAGGGTGACACAAGCAAGGGGGGGGTCACACAGGGAGGGGTGGGAGCCTGTCTATTTAAAATTTCAATATTTTATTCAAAATATATACATAGATGGGCAGCACTAAATTATGTTTTTAATTGCATTAATTTAAAATATTGCATGAAGAAGCAACAGCCTTGATGTCGATTGCTGAGTCTGTTGGGGTCCCCTTAGATTTTGCACCCTAGAGGAGTGCCTCATTTGTGTTCCCTTCCTCCTGGCCCCAGACAGGAGGCCCGGGTCACAAGGCTCCGGGTGCCGCCTGCTCTCTGGGAGCACCCCCAGCCTCCTGGATCCACTCAGTGACTCAGGCCACATCGTTCCCACTCCAGTCAGGCACCCCACTGGCCTTTGGGGCTGACTTGGTCCCTGCCTCGGTGGTTTTACCTTCTCAAAGAGGAGAAGATCTCACAAACACAACTACTTCATGCTTCTAGGCCTTATAAAATGACTTGATTCCAGTAAAATGCGGCAGTAGGAATTTTATGATGCCCAGAAGTGTGAAGCCACATGGACCCAATAGGACATCAGAGAAGGTTTCCCTGGAGTGAGCAGCATTTTAGCTGAGAATTAAGTATAGGGAGGAGCTGGGAGCACAGATGAAAGAGAGAGGATCCCCAGGAAGAAGGAGCCAGCCGCCTGTGCAAAGGCCCTGGGGTAGAAAGGCGCACTGTGGGTTGCAGCAGAGTGATTTCTCCACACTTTCTCCTGGACTCACTCTTAGTGTAGGTTTGGAAGACCCATGGGCCCCGAGGGCAGTGGTTCCCAGACCTGGGCTGTCTTGCCGTCTGCAGGTTTGACTGGTTCAAGGACCTGGGCCTCAAATGGTACGGCCTCCCCGCTGTGTCCAACATGCTTCTGGAGATTGGTGGCCTGGAGTTCAGCGCCTGTCCCTTCAGCGGCTGGTACATGGGCACGGAGATCGGTGTCCGTGACTACTGTGACAACTCCCGCTACAACATCCTGGAGGTAAGGTCCCTCGGTGGTCCCCGGGGCAGGACACCCAAGGCAGAGGTTTGGAGCCTAGAAACTGGAAGGAGTCCGAATAGAACCACAATCGGGTGAACTTCTGGAAGCATCCGTGTGTCTTTACCAGGGATGGTAGCAACAGCCAACACACAGCACGGACCCCACGCTAACACTGCTTAAGCACCTTATGTATACAGTCAACACCCACCACCCCCGCTACCCCATGTCTGTCGGGGATTCATCCAGGAACCCCCACCGAAGCCCAGGTCCTTTATATAAAAGGCCCAGTATGTGCCTATGACCTACACACCCCCGGCATGCTCAGATCATCTCGAGATGACTTCTGATACCTCCTACAGTGCTAAACCGAAGGGTTCAGAGGATGAATCATGACAGGGAAGACATGTCTTGGACACGTTCTCTACAGGTGCAAGCTTCTTCCCAAATGTTTTCCTTGGAAGGTTGTTTGAATCTGCATAGACAGAAACCGCGGCTCTGGCTGCAGGTGGGCGTGCGGTGCGCGGGGGCTTGTGTGTTCAGGTGACTAGTCTCTTTCCTTCAAGGTAACAGCTGTGACATTCTCCAAGTTACTGTTTCTATCAGTGGCTTGGAACCCACCAGCTGTAGCACATTCTCATTTAACCCTCACCTTAACCTTAACGTATGATAATCCCCTTAAGGTGGAGAAAATGAGGACTTCCAGAGGGATTAAGTGACAATCTCAAGGTCATGCAGCAAAGGAGGGTAGCATTTCTCCACAGAGGGTCTGATTCTGTCCCCCCCCCCCCACTGAGTCCTCCTGGAGTTCCCGGGGCTATGTTTTGTCAGCCAACATCCCTACCAACCGTCTTCAGCGGTTGGCCTCATTTCAAAAGAAGATATGGGGGAACAGAGAAGTTAAGTTCTGGGCCTATGTCACACAGCAAATAAGGCACAGAATCATGAGTAGAACTCAGAACCAAGCATTAGGTTTCTGTTGTTTAAATCCATGGGTTCAGGGGGTCCTCAGTCTTGCTGCACCTTGGAGTTTACCCTGGGGGCTTTATGATGCCCAAGTCCCCCTCCCCAGAACCCTGATGTTATTGATCTGGTCAGGACCCCAGGCTTCAGCATTTTGTAACATTTTTTAACTTCCTCAGAAGGTTCTACTGGGTAGCACCCATCTGTACAACCTTCTGACAGGAAAGGGGGAAATATTTCAGATAATTTCCATACATATGGCTCAAGTTGCATTGGGGGATTTTTTTTAAAGTCACATAGGTTTTTTTCTTTTGTTTTTCTCTGCAACTAATTGTTCTTGTTTAATTTTTTTAAAAATGCTGTAGAATGCCAGGCACATACTCCTGTCATCCCAGCAGCTCGGGAGGCTGAGGCAGGAGGATCGTGAGTTCAAAGCCAGCCTCAGCAACTTAGCGAGGCCCTAAGCAACTCAGGGAGACCCTGTCTCTAAAGAAAATATTAAAAAGGGCTGGGGACGGGGCTCCGTGGTTAAGCGCCCCGGCTTCCATCTTTGGTACTAAAAACAATGCTGTAGATAGCAGGAGCCACCTGACTGCCCACACGACACTTGGCTCTTTCCTAAACCAGCTCGAGTTTTACATGTATCTGTGCAAAGCAGCAGCTAATGGTTTGCTCTCTGCAAACGCGTCCCTGCTCCAGACCCCAGCAGAACCTAAGGCCCGGCCTCCGGGAGTGCATCACCAAGTTCTCATTCCACTCTCTGAGTGCGTGTCCCTCGCAAGGAGTCGTCACGGGTAGCTAGACGAGCCTGTCACCCGCCCCAGCCCTCAGTTCCAGCTGCCGTTGTGTACAGACGGTGACAGCTGGGTGGGAAATGACTTCCCTAGTCCTTAGAGATTGCTGCCTTGCAGCCCTGTAATGAGACCTGGGCTCCGCCAGGGACCGGCATGACGGGAGGTGAGCAGCTCAGCCTTAATTAACGAGCCTGCTGCCGGCTCTTCCCTGCCCGCTCCGGAGCCGGTGTCTCCCGACTGTCACCAATTCTCTTTCCCAAGTAACTTGACACAGGTGTCACCTGATGAGGAGGCAGCTCCCAGGTCTCCGGTATCGGGCTTCCCCTGAGCTCTCCCTCCACGGCCACCTGGCTCCGTGGACTGTGGACAAGGGCAGACAGGGTTCTGGGCCTCAGTTTCCCTCATCTGTCAGAGCCCAGCAGGTGTCCCTCTGAACTCACAGCCCACCGTCTCGAGTCTAAGTAGTGACCGCTGCAGAGTGGAACAGAACGAGGGGAGCTTCTCCTCCGAGGAAACAGTCACTCCTAAATCCATCGGAAGACCACCCTCGGATTTGAAATAAAATCCTGGCTTCCTGGCACGCCCTCCAGGGTCCCACGGCATCCAGTCCTGCTTCTCTCTCCCACCAGCCCCCACCCCCTGCAGCTCACCATCCTGCAAGCACACAGGTCCTCTTTCTGCTTCTCAGGGGACCCAAGCCCGATTCCCACCCCAGGGCCTTTGCTCTTGCTCTTCTCACTCGCAAGTCCCCGCCCCTGGTCTGCGGACGTCTTGCTTCTTCTCATCATCTCCTCCTCCCATTTCCTTTCTCTTATTTCCTTCCTAGGAATTAACACTGATCATAAAATGAGCTCTCTCCCCACTCTATGGGCCTGTCAGCTTCATGACTCAAGGCCTCCTTCATATCCAGTAGATTCTCAATTAAAAAAAAAACAAAACACACGACCACTTTTTCAGGAGTGAGTCCATGAGTGACCTGCGCATGAGCTGGTTAGTCCAGGGACCCGCGGTGAGGGGACCCGCCCTCCTTCATTCTGAAGCACCGAGGGGCCCCAGCCTGTGAGTGGGTTTTGTCCCCCTTCAGGAAGTAGCCAAGAAGATGAACCTGGACATGAGGAAGACGTCATCCCTGTGGAAGGACCAGGCGCTGGTGGAGATCAACATCGCCGTCCTCTACAGCTTTCAGGTAGCCCCTGCCTCACGGGCGCGAGAACCTTCGGAACCTTGGTGCTGAGGGTCGAGAAACCTGGCTACCAAAACCCACCTGGGCGGGGTTCTGTCCACCAGCATGACCTCCTTCCTGTCCGCCTGCCTCCCCTGCTTGCGGGTCCTGGGTGGGGACCCTGTGAGGAAAAGAATACTCGGTGGGGAGGGAGGTCACCACCTATTGCTCACAATGCTTCGGAATTGCCACGAGGAGCTGCCAAGATGACCAACCCCTGTCATCCCCGCGGCTCAGGAGGCTGAGGCAGGAGGATCGCGAGTTCAAGGCCAGCCTCAGCCACTCAGCAAGGCCCCGTCTCTAAATGAAAGATTTTTTACAAAGGGCTGGGGATGCCGCTCAGTGCTTCAGCACCCCCTGGATTCCAGCCCCAGTGCCCCCCCCTTAAAAAAGTTGTGATGACAGGTGTCCTCTGTTCCTGTCCTGTCCTAGGGACTCCGATGACCACATAACAAGTGATAGCCTCACTATCAGAGCCTTGTGGGCCCCCGGAAAGGGTGTGAACGGAGTTAAGTCCTTGGGTTCTTGGTCCCCGGTTTGAAGAATTGGCCCAGGGTGAGAGCCAAGGTGACAGGGTTCCCGGAGTGGACGGGCCCCAGAGAGGGGCGCCCGCTGTCTCGGGGTTCTTCAGGGGTACCTGGTGGCCCTGCGCAGGTGGGCCCAGGGAGGCCGGTGTGGACGGAGTCAGCGCTCCACGCTCTGCGTGTAATAAGCCGATGGCACGTGAACGGTCCCCACCGTGTTACGAGGTTAAGAGGACAGGTCCCTCCTCGGGGTCGGACACGTCCGTGGGGTTGACTCTGTGGCCTGCCCTTGCTGGGGTGGGGGCGAGGTAACCAAGGAAGGGTGGCTGCCCTTGGAGCTGCAGGGGACAGGACAGGTGTTCCCAGGAAGCCGCGTGGTGACAGCCCCCAGGGGGTCAGTCCCCCAGACCCCGTGTGTCCTTCCAGGTTGGCGTGAGGTGCCCTTCTCTTGGCCACCCAGGGGAGATACCTCCACCTGCCTCCATACTGGGGTAGGAGGACTGGACACTCCCTGTCTGAACCTCGACGTGTGGAGACCACAGAGCGGACACTTGGTCACGAACACAAAATCACATTTTGAAACTGACCCGTGATGACCCAGGGCAGGGACAGGATCTGGGGTTCTCTGGTTTTTGCAAAGCAGGTCCAGAGACCAGAGGACGGTCTCTAGAATCGAGGCCAGCTCTGCCCTCGGGGGCTTCCCACCAAGGCGGGATAGGTGGGTGGGGACTGGAAGTCACATGTCGGGGACAGAGAGGGGGCCCAGGGACCAACGGCTCCGAGAACAGAGAAGTCGCGGAGGGTGAGGGCTCGGGAGCTGTTGAGATGACCGCCCGGCTCGGATCCCTGGGGACCCGGGACAACGACAGGCAGGCTGGGGACAGCACGGACGGACTGAGCTGACCAATCAGAAAAGCGCAGAGGGGACAAGATACTGTGGGCAGAGAGAGGAGCGTCACCTGGACGTCCATTCCCCACCCGGGAGGGGCTTACCTGGGTGACGTTTTATCCACTCGTTTTAGGACGTAAGACTTTGTATGTTAAGAGGGTTTTACGTCCCCACGCTCACGGGAGAAGTGGGATGGGTGGCCATCAGTAGGAGGGAACAGAATATTAAACCAATGAACAGGAAAAGAAAATTGTTGGAGTCTAGTCACTGCCTGAGGTTCCTCCCCCTTCTTAAAAAGCAGGGAAAGATATGAAAGACATGGTCACCAACAGAGACTTTCTCCTGGGTGTGATTACCAGTGAGAGAAATGCAGAGAGTCACCGGCTCCCCTCACACTGCTTAGAATCATCTCCAGGACCACCATTTGTTTGCTTTCTTTTCTTTAAATTTTTATTTTTTTGGGGGGGGGCAGGGGGGGTGGTTTCTGGAGATTGAATCCAAGGACGCGTTACCACTGAGCACTATCCCCAGCCCTTTTTATTTCACTTTATTTATTTATTTTGAGGCAGGCTCTTGCTAAATGGCTTACGGCCTCACTCAGTTGCTGAGGCTGGCCTCCAACTTGCCATCCTCCTCCCTCAGCCTCCTGAGTCTCTGGGATTACAGGCGTGCCTTGCTGGGCTTGGCTTCCCCAAAGCCTCTGACTCCTGGTCCCTTCTCTTCTCACAGAGTGACAAAGTGACCATCGTTGACCACCACTCTGCCACCGAGTCCTTCATTAAGCACATGGAGAACGAGTACCGCTGTCGGGGGGGTTGCCCGGCTGACTGGGTGTGGATTGTGCCCCCCATGTCTGGCAGCATCACACCTGTCTTCCACCAGGAGATGCTCAACTACAGGCTCACACCCTCCTTTGAATACCAGGTCCTGCCCCTTCTGCCCCTTTCCGTGCTGAGTCCCCCCCCCCCCCCCCGTCTGCTGTGTATGTTGTGTCGGGAGCACATCTTAATCTGGGCCAGCTCTTTGGATGTGCAAATGCCCAGTGGCCACGTCTGGCTCCTGGCTCCCACACTGGGCAGCACGGGTCTTGCTGAAAGACTAACAGAGACACAATGAGTGCTCGGAGGTCACAAGAAGAAAGTATGAGGGGACCCAGGGCTGATGGGAGGGGCTGGCAGGACACTACAGGGAGGCAAGGACAGCTATAGTGACCACAGGTGGAATCCCTGCTCTCTAGGGCTGTGGGGTCGGGCAGCCTCGAGCCCCAGGGAGCCCTGGGCATCTCCATGAGAAGCTGCCGTCCCTCGTGGCAGTGACCAAAGCCCTCTCTCCTCTTCCCAGCCCGATCCTTGGAACACCCATGTGTGGAAAGGCACCAACGGGACCCCCACAAAGCGGCGCGCCATCGGCTTCAAGAAGCTGGCCGAGTGAGTGTCCTGCCATGGGAACCCGGGGTGCGCCCACTCAGAGAGCCCAGAAAGGGGGGACACAGCAGCGGGGCCATTTTTTAGGGAAGTCAGAACCCGGGGGAGCCGGGGGGAGCCAGCCCCAGGCCCTCCCTCGTTTATTTCCTCATTCATTCACTCATTGGTTCGTACTTGAGCCAACAAATGAGCACCAGGTGTATTCTCCACGCCAGGTGCTGGGCTAGGCTCCGCGGGGTCGAGTGGGGCCCCTGATCTCAGGACGCCCCCAGCCATCATCTGTCAAAGAACGAACATGAATGTAGTCAACCCTGGGTCCGTGGCAAGGGCACTGAGAAGTAGTTCCAGGGGTCGTGAAACAGATGTCACCTAGATGTCACCTAGATGTCCCTTGGGAGGTTAGGGAGGACGTCCCTGAATGGGTGAATGAGATAAACAAGGGTTAATGGAGCAAAGAAGGGAAGAGAAGGGGCTGTGGACCAGGATGACCACTGTGGGGGTCCTCTCTTCCTGAAGGATGCTCGGCCACCTGGGGGCCGGCTGGGTAGGGGGGGCCGACTGAGCTGATTGAATGGGACCCCAGGCTTCTGCCCAAAGAGAACTCCAGCGATCCACCGTGTGGGGCAGCCATCGGGGTGGACTGAGCTAGCTGGGGTCCAGAAGCGTCCGTGTGTGCCAATCTAGTTCTGCAGCAGGGGCCACCGCTGCCACGGACCCATGCTGGGTCCCTTGGTTCCCGTCCCCATGATTGGCACCCGGGATATCTCTCCCCTCCCCCTCTCTCCATCCCATCCCACCCGCCAGCCAAGGAGGAGCCCAAGGCAGCACCCTTCCCCCAACAAGAGGATCTGGAATATTCTCAGCCAGGGCCACCGTTGGCTCTAGCTCAGCTCCATCGTCTCCGGGAAGAGAAGGGAGACAGGAATCTAAAACGTTAATTGCACCATGAAGTTTGCAGTGGAAACAAAAGGAGTTAATTATAGATGTGCTGTCATGCTCCATCCCTCCCAGGGAACCCTCCACGCACCTTTAATCCCTTTGGGTTCCCCACCTCCCCGCCCTTAGCTCAGTCTTCCCCCCTCCCCCGCGTGGGTGGCTCCCCTAATTCTGAAAAATTTACCACCGATAATCCCCGGGTGGGAGGTAATTAGCAATTTGTCGATGCTAAGACTCCTGAGAAGAATGGCTTGGGAGTGGAGCCCAGGTACTCGCCTCCCCCAGCCCCTGCCAGCAGAGGGGAGGGGAGGAACCCGGGTTTGAGGTTCTCTGTTGAGCTAGGAGGAGGCTGCATCTGACATCTAAGCTCCCCAGGGCTCAGGTGACATCAGCATCTTTTTAAACTCATCATTTTTCACAGACATTTCTTTTGTGTATGGGAGATGCCAGTTGCCCTGCAAAGCCCTGGATGTCATTGCTGAATAAACCCAGCCTAGCCCTTCCTCTGTGGGTCCCTAAACCCCTAGAACCTTCCGACTCAATGCCTGGTGGATCAATAGTGGTTTGGGTTTGTTTTTTTTTTTCCCCTCTCTCTCAAATACACACGCGCCTAAGCCCCGTGAGTGAACGTGAATGAATGAGGGGGTGGGTGGGCGAAGGACTGTCCTTCAGGGCAGCGCGTGGTACCCCGAGGTTCACTAGCAAAACCCACCGGCCACTTTAACCCCTGCCTGACTGCCCTGGGGTTGGGGATAAGGTAGCTCAGTGGGGTGCGTCCACTTGGGGGGCTCTGACTCTTGAAGCATCAAAGATCAAGAGACTCGATTCTCTGATCTCGTGGATCATGGTTCTGGCCCCCCAAATCCCAACCTGGTGTCTGTTTCCCAACTTTCCCCCCATCCCCGACTCCCAGAGCCGTCAAGTTCTCAGCCAAGCTGATGGGACAGGCCATGGCCAAGAGGGTGAAAGCCACCATCCTCTACGCCACAGAGACGGGCAAATCGCAAGCCTACGCCAAGACCCTGTGTGAGATCTTCAAACACGCCTTTGACGCCAAGGTGGGCAGCGGGCAGTGCCAGTCCCCAAGCCCCTCACAGTGAATACGGTTGGGAAGGGGAGAGAGGCAAGTGGACAGAGAGGAACTCTGGCCCAAGGACTAAAGATGAAGATGCGCATCAGCACACACTGCTGCCAATTTCAGGGGACTGTCATAGTCCTCTCCCCACGAACCCAGTAGGAGTCCAGGAACCACCAAATGAAATGCCTGTCTCTGAAGAAAAATGTTAGTGGGTTTTTGAGAAACCATCCTGCCACAGTCCGGCTGCAGCAAACTAACCGGGGGGGTGACGAGGAACTTGTGTACATTGATGCAGCAGGAGTGGGAGCCGTTTATTGTAGGACAGGAGGGGTATATATACATTCCACACAGCTTATCTTAATTAACATAAACTAGATACAGCAGTCAACCAATAAGGAATCTCCACACTTAATGGCTCGCTGGCGTTACTTCACAAACCACTCCCTCTGGCAAAATGCCAGGCGCCATCTTGACTTGTTTACAGACCCCAACACCATCCTGGAGTCAGTTTTAGAAAGTTCTGTGCTAAAGACAGCTCGAGGGGCCTCACGGCTACCGGACTTCTCAGAGCCTTTAATGCATAAACAAACATGCATTATAATCTCCTAAGGAGGAAAGGGTAGGTTATAAATGTTTCCCAAATATAATTTTTTGGGAGATACCAGGGATTGAACTCAGGAGCACTCCACCACCGAGCCACATCCTCAGCCCTAGTTTGTATTTTATTTAGACACAGAGTCTCACTGAGCTGCTGAGGGCCTCTGTTGCTGAGGCTGGCTTTGAACTTGCAATCCTCCTACCTCAGCCTCCTGAGCTTCTGGGATGACCGGCATACACCACTGCGCCCGGCTCCCAAATATAATTGACCCTGGGTCATTTCTTTTCATGGGGCACCCCAGCAGACTGGACTTCCTGAGACCCTACTTTGACAAATGTGGTGCGGGTGATGCTGAGGCTCAGGGTGACAGTCTCAGATTCATCTGATCCGGGGGCTTCACACTACAGGGGCCAGATTTAGAGAAGGGGTGGAGCGGGCCACTTAGATCCAGCCAGGCCATTCCCAGCCTGAATGGGGACAGGAAGAATCCAGGGTCCGTTGGTGGTAAGAAGCCCAAGGACTTCATTCAAGGTCCGTCTCTCCTGGCAGCCAGCCCTGGGACCACGGCCCAGACCCTGCAGCCTTCACCCCAGTGACCACAGGAAGGTCCTCATGCTACTAACAGGCTTCTGGTCCACCCACTTGAGCCCATTGATGAACGACAGCCCAGAACATCTGCTCCTCTTTCCAAAGGACATGACTCAAAATGACTCACCTTCTCTCTCTCTCTCTCCTCCTCTTCCCATCCCTTTGGGTTCCCTCCCCCGCCCATCACCTCCCTCTTCCTTCCTCTCCCCACCCCCCATGCCTGTGTCCCGCCAGGTGATGTCCATGGAAGAATATGACATCGTGCACCTGGAACATGAAACGCTGGTCCTCGTGGTCACCAGCACCTTCGGCAACGGAGACCCCCCGGAGAATGGGGAGGTGAGATGGGCTCCCCCTGTTCTAGGATGGGGTGCCCTCAGCAGGAAGCAGGAGGGCCTCGCTGGGACCCTCCCTCTACACCCGAGATTCAGAACCAGAGTCCCCCCAGAGCCAGTGACGTCGGTCGGATCCAAGTCATGCAGACACTGGACAATCCCCAGCTCTCGGGCTGTGGGTGTCCACTGTTCAAATAGTCCTAGTGAAAATGTCACCTGAGTGAGCGCCTTGTTTAGAAAGGGGAGCCTGGTGTCCCCTGCTAAAGACTCAGGGACAACATTTTTATAAAGAGAAGGCCACCCAGGAGCGTTGTGTCGTGGGGGTAGAGTGTCCACGCCTGCCGTCCCTTAAACAGCTGACCTTCCATTATACCTGCTGCTCACCTTGGCCGCCCACCTGAGCCCTGGCCATCCCTGATATCTGGCTGCCAGGCATCGGGCTCCTCGTTGACTGGCCAGGACCCCAGGCCCTGTGCCCATCCCCCTTGCAGACTAACTCATACAGACGTCCTTCACATTTTCCTCCTCTGTTCTGACCTCCAGAAATTCGGCTGCGCTTTGATGGAAATGAGGCACCCCAACTCCATGCAGGAGGAGAGGAAGTAAGTGACCAGTCCCTCCAATGTCAATGACAACCCCTGGGATCCCTGGAAATTACGTTTTGGCTCCTGGGATTCACATTTGAGTTGTGGCTGGTGGTTGTGACCCAAAGTCCACTGAAGACTGAATTTAGCTGGCAGGTGTCTGGGATTCACTGGGGCTGGCATCTCAGTGCCCAACCAAGTCCCTCCTAAGCTCTGTGACTCAGTTTCTCTTTATGTCAAATAGAGGTGATGATAGCTACCTTAACTTTCCGATGAGTAAGAATCAAGTCCAAAAATGGACGAAAGAGTCTTAGGAAAAGTTAAGTGCACGGTGTATACATCGTTCTGATTCTCCCCCCCACACACCTTTGGAGACCCCCATTCAAAATCAGTGAAAGCTGCCTCTTGGGCTTTTCGATCTGATGCTCACAGTGGACCCGCAGCCAGTGCAGAGGTTAAGTTCAAAAGCTGGACAAGATCACCTCACAAGGCAGAGACGCCCCTGGTGCACAGACATTCATGAAGGAATTGCACCTCGCGTGGGACTGGGTTCTGAAGGCGTTCCACAAGGTGGACGGTCTGTTATCTAGACTTCCTCGGAAAAACCCCAGGACCCTCCGTGAGGGCACCTGGTGTGGAGCAGATCCCTGTGTCTTAAGATGAGCATCGCACGTCATAGCTGACTGGCATTTAGAGATGGTGTTGTGCAGAAAATCACTCTTGGTTTTCTCCCTGCAAAACACATGTGGTCAATCCCATCCCAGAGCCCCGGGTGACCTGCCCTCGTCCATACCTGGCTTCAGCACCTTGGTCCTGGGTGGCCTCCTTGTGGGTCACCCCTCACCCCTCCTTCAGGGAGAGATAGGGCTCCATCCATTCTCCCCTCTAGGTACCCGGAACCCTTGCGTTTCTTTCCCCGTAAAGGGCCTTCCCTCCCCCCTGGTGACACTGAAGTCCACGGTCTGGCTGCCGCCCGTGACAGCCGGCACAGGTAGAGCGTGTATGTGTACGCATGCATGCGTGTGCAAGCGTGTGTGTGCATGTGTGTGTGCGTGCGTGCACCCGTACGTATGCATGTCCTACACCCGAGCATCCCTGGCCACTGCCCCCCGGGGTCTCCAAGTGACCTGGATTGTACCCCAGGCTGTGCCATTCGCCCATTCAACCACCTGGGCAAACCACTTGACTCCCGTGGGCCTCGGTCTCCCGCGGCTGCCAAATGGGGAGCGATGATCCTGCCACGCCCACCTGGGGGGGCTGTTGCCAGGGTTCCCGGGAAAATAACAACGGGGACAGCATTTGGAGGAACCTCCAGCCTCATATGGATCCACGTGCTGCTATTCTTACCCCACAACTGTCAGCCTGCCTCCCCCGCTAACCACACACACCCCCTGAGATGCTGCATGACTTATTTGGAGAAGTGACTCAATGTGAGGCTATTTTGGGGGCAGAAAATACACTTTCGTATATTTAGAACTTTCCTGATGCTGGAGCGGACACTTTGACGAGCGTCCAGTTTAGAAACGCTGCTGCCAGAACGCACAGATTTCTTTTTATGTCTTTTTTTTAATTTTTTCCCCTTTTTGCATTCAGATTTGTGCATTGGGTTCTCGCCTGGAGTTTGGGGGCTTGGAATTATTTTTGCTTGTTTCTTTGTCAAGTATTGGGGTTTGGGTTTGGGTTTCGGTTTGTTTTTACCTTGTGTGCAAGCCACACGTACCCCTAGGAGAGGAGAACGGATGGGGGTGTTTTGGGTTTCGTTGTTTCAAGGTCTTGAGATTCCTGAGCCTCTCGGGCTGAGGTTTGGGTCCCAGGACATTTTCCTTCCCCTTGAAAATAATTTAATTATATATATAAAAGCAGCCATGTCTTTTCATGCAGGGTATCAGTGCTAAACATTTCTTATGTTTGCCTGAAATGTGACCTGCGACCCAGGAAAAATGTCAAAGATCTATGACTCTATGAAAGGAAAGAGTTGACCAGAATAGACCAGGCCGGTTCTGCAGAACTTGTTTTCTTTTTTTTTTTTTTGGTACCAGGGATTGAACCCAGGGGCGCTCTCCCACTAAACCACATTCCCAGCCCTTTTTATTTATTTATTTATTTTTAATTTTGAGACGAGGTTCTTACTAAGTCACTGTGCATGTTGCTCAATTGTTGAGGCTGGCCTCCATCCTCTTGTCTCAGCCTTCCTAGTCTCGGGGATGACAGGTGTGTGCCACTGTGCCCAGCTTCCAGGATAGAGATATTCTACATCTGTATTGATGGTATACCAGTCACTGTCCGCACATGGCTGCTGGATTCTTGAGGTGTAGCTAGTGCATGTGAGGACAGGAATTTTCAACTGCTTCTCATTGTAATTAATTCAAGTGTAAATAGCCACACTTAGATGATGGCCGCCATATTGGAAAGCGCCATATTGGCCGCCATATTGGAAAGCCAGTTCCTGGCTGTTAAAGCGAGACCTGGGGACTAGCAAATTGGCACTTCTTGGGGACTTGTTAGAAATGCCAATTTTCAGACCCCACCCCAGACCTCTTGAACCAGAGTACGCATTTTAACGAGACCCTGGAATGATTCCCATGCGTGTTAAAATTCCGAGAGCAAGGGAGCATGGCCTTTGGTGAGGGGAGGGTCCATTCTGCTCCTGACATCTTATTAATTTAGCCATGTTAACGGTATGGGCTCAGGATCCATAAATGGAGCACGGCCAAAAGCCTTTGAAGTTCCTGGGAGGGTCCCATGCAGGAGGATAATTATCGTGGTGGGGGGCGAGAGTTGACCCGTTCTTGAAGAGACCCCGGGAGTGGTATGCATTGACTCCACAAACCCAACAGAGAAGGTACCAGGACCAGGACCAGTGACTTGAAGATCCACAGGGGGTGTGGGCCTCGGGAGGGGGTCCAGGCGAACCTCACAGACTCTCGTTCACCTTGGCAGGAGCTACAAGGTCCGGTTCAACAGCGTCTCCTCCTACTCTGACTCGCGCAAATCATCGGGCGATGGGCCTGACTTCAGAGACAACTTTGAGAGTGCTGGACCCCTGGCCAATGTGAGGTGAGCAAAGGTCCTGGGGTCACGGGAGACGGAGGCTCTTGGGGAGCTGGACCTTGGTGCAAGATGGGTTCTTGGTTGCAGGGAGGGGTCTCCCATTCATTGCCCCTTTATTCCCTTATAAAACCAGGCTGTCTGGGACCTCCTGGCTGTCTGGGACCCTCCATCCCATCTCGCTGGCTGGCCCTTCCTGTGGCCTCTCTGACCGTTCACCTCTCTCAGAGCCCCAGCACCCGCAGTCCACCCCATGGGCTGAAGCGTATTATTTCCTATGGGTCACTGAGCTTCCCTTCCCAGTGAACACATTTCGTACCTGATAGAAGTCTCGGGAGCAACCCTGCCAGTGACTCTGAACCCTGAATATACCCAAAATCCACCTGAGAATACTCACAACATACCCACACCATAGCCAAGCCCCGCTTCCCGAGATTCGGATGTAACTGGTACAAAATGTGGGCCCACGCCTGGACTTTTTTCCTTTCACTCTCTCAGTGACTCTAGCACGCAGTCCGATTTTTAAAAGACCAGCCTAACCCCATGTTTGCCAAAGCAGACTCACCTGCCAGAAGATAATTTTAGGTGGTCCGTGGACAGACGTTTTTGTTCACCAGCTGTGTGTTCAATTGAATGTGCATTTTCAAGGACGTGAAACTGTGATGTCAGACCTTCGGTCTCATGGATATTGGTCAAAACAAGACTGATGGAGAACGTTCAGGCCTACCCATGAGCCTCTTCAGCCCTCCGTAATTGACATGTCTTCACAACTGCTCAGAGCTATGCTCAGTAGACAATTCCTAGATATTGAAGGATCGTGTCCGTCAGTACATTTTTAAATAGGCTTGAGTTTCAAAAGCAATTTTAGGTTGGCTTGTAAAAAATTGTACAGAAAGTACAAAAAAAAAAAAATTGAAGCCAGGCACGGTGGTACATGCCTGTAATCCCAGCAGCTTGGGAGGCTGAGGCTGGAGGATCGCGAGTTCAAAGCCAGCCTCAGCAATAGCGAGGCCCTAAGCAACTCAGTGAGACCCTGTCTCTAAATATAAAATAGGGCTGGGGATGTGGCTCAGTGGTCAAGTGCCCTGGTACCCCACCAAAAAAAAATTTTTTTTAATCATATCCCAAAGGCCTCAACTCCCCTACCCTAAACACATGTGGTCTCCCAACATCAGCCTCCTGTGACAACATGGTACATTGGTTAGAATCATTATCAGCCAAGGCCAAGAGTTTACTTTAGAGTCCCCTGTTAGTGTGGCACATTTTGTGGGTTTTGACATTAGTACATTTTTTTAGCTGAACATTGAAACTTCAGTTCTAGAGTTTGACAGTCAGACCTACTTTATTCTTATTAAATCTATCACAGCCTCAAGTTGGCAGACAAATGCCCACAGGCCAAGCCCAGCTTGGCCACGGCATGTTTTTGTTCAACCCTTCGGCTAAAAATGGTTTTTGTTTTTTTACAGATGAGTAATTGGAATTCATGATAGAGAACATCTTTGAGATCCACTTAAACAAAATGTTATCCACTCCCCCCAACCAAAAAAAAATCCTATTCTTCTCATTAGTAGCCCTGAAAAATTTGTACTCAACTATTATTATATTTTTTAAATTTCATCAATTAAAAAAAATGTACTGAAGGTTTTTCCTCTTGTTACATAAATGCCCAAAGAATAGCTTCTATTTTGTAGTCCTTAAAATATTTGCTATCTGGCCCCAAATGTAAGAAGTTAGTCAACTGCTGTTGGAGACTTAAAATGAAAGTTTTGAAATCCTAAGTACAAATTGTGGTAGGACTGTGAGTCTACCAGTAACCAGAGTAGGTCTCTAGGTCCATTAAGAAGTGAATTAAGGAATCGACTCTCTGAATCATTTGTTGGAAAACACAGAGTTGAATGTCTTAGTCAATACAAGATGCTGTAACAAAATACCACAACTGGGTGGCTTATAAACAACAGAAATTTATTGCTTATGGTTCTGGAGGTCAGGAAGTCCAAGATCAAAGCCCTGGCGAATTCAGCATCTGCTGATGGCTCACCCTCGGGTTAGTAGATATTACCTTCTCCCTGCATCCTCACTTGGTAGAAGGGAAGAACTCTGTTCTCTTCAGCCCCTTAAAAGGACACTAGTCTTACTCTCTAGGGCTCTGCCCTGATGACCTAATCATCTCCAAAGGCCCCACCTCTTTATCCCATTGCCTTGGAGATTAGATTTCAACATGAATTTTGAAAAGACGCCAACATTCGGTCCTTAGCATGGGGTTTGATCAGCTGGAGAGTAGAAGTGAAAAGCGAGTTAAAGAACAGGAACAGGAGTCCAATATGGCCGCCATCACAAGTACAAGTAACAGATACAAGTAACCACAAGCCGTGCTCAGCGCGGGCAGTTTCCACATCTGCACTGGGCCAAGGCGAAGGCAAAGGCTTGGGGCAGGGGTGCCCTTTCCTGACACCCCCACACATACCAGTCCTCATCTGGTCACCACATCTGCCACCTGTCATACGAGGGAGGGGACAAGGGACAACATAAATGTGTGTTTGAGAGGAGCGTTAACCCCCATCTGGGAGACGCCTGAACAGATCTCAAGTCCATCTTCCAGTGATGGGGAGTCCCTCCCTTCCCAACTTCACTCCCCTTCCCTTCTCCTCCCCTGTCTCCATCGTCACTATCTGGTCCCGGGGGTTCTCAAAAGGAGATTCAAGGACAGGGCAAGACCCCGTGCCGCAGGTTTAATAGCGCCACTTCTTGACCTGTGAGGTGACCGTCAACAGCAGGGTGAGGGGTTCTTGTGCCCTCTGTGGACCTACCACTCCACTTCCTGAGAGGTCCAGAACCGCAGGACCCACCCCCAGAAATGTGGCCCAGAGTGTCTGTAAGAAGGGCCGTGTGGGACACCACCCTCCGCTCTCCGTGCCCACCTAACATGGAGGAGAAGCGCATCAGCGCGGCCCCCGCTGGCTCCAACCCCGACACCTGTATCTCGACAAAGAGGAAGAGAAATTAATGTGTGAGGCACATAAATTTCACAAACATGCCCCGGGGTGGAGCCAGCCTGGTTACAACTCTTTCCTATCCTTTCGGAAAACGCTGATTACACACCAATGTTCCATGTGCTAATGACAGGTCCGTCTGGTCACCTTAGTACCTCCGGGTCCCTGAGGACCATGGTGTTGGAGTCTTCCTTGTCTGTCTAACGGTCCTCTTGCAGAATTCAAGCCTCCCACTAAGGTAGACTCTTGTTCCCCATGAGTCCAGCTTAGAAAGGGACAACGGTCACTGCTGTCCCTTGCGGTCCCTCCTGAGAACCATTTGGAACTTTCTCCTGAGGTTGGTGACAGCTAGCAGAGACCAAACAGAAGACAGGAGAGACCTCAAGGGCTCTGGCGATTCAAGGAGACCTTCTCCAGATGGCTTGGGGTGGCTTCAACTCCATCAGCGAAACACAGTCCCACCTGAGATGCTGGTTAGGTGTGTCCACCTTCACCAAATACAGCGGCCTGTGCTGAAGCAACAGAGATGGATCTTCTCATTGCTCCAAAAGCTCGAAGTCCAAGATCAGAGTGCCAGCCGTGTTGACTTCTGGCGTGGCCTCTCCTCCTGGCCTGCAGATGGCCGCCTTCTTTATCATGTTGCAGAAAGAGAGAGACAGAGATAGGGACAGACAGAGAAAGGGCACACACAAGCGCTGGTCCTGTGGGATTAGGGGTCACCCTTCTGACCTCCCTGGCTCTCACCATCTCCCCCAGGCCCTACCTCCAAATGCAACCACTCTGGAGTTTAGGGCTCCAACGTGAATCTGGAGGGCACACAGTTCAGCCCGACATCCCCCATGTCACCCCCCCCAGTCCCTTACCATGGACCTTCTGTTGTCCCCTTGCCAGGTTCTCGGTGTTCGGCCTCGGCTCCCGGGCCTACCCCCACTTCTGCGCCTTTGGACACGCCGTGGACACCCTCCTGGAAGAGTTGGGGGGGGAGAGGATCCTGAAGATGAGAGAGGGGGACGAGCTCTGTGGACAGGAGGAGGCTTTCAGGACGTGGGCCAAGAAGGTCTTCAAGGTAATCCCCATCTCAGAGACCCAGGGAGGAGCGCTCCCCCCCCACCCACCCAGAGACAGCACCCAACCCAGGAGAAGGAGAAGGAGCCCTGGGACTTCTCCGCAGCTCCAGTGGCTCCAAGGGGCTTTAAGTCACACATTTTCCACCCAGCAGCCAACATTATACATTATGGGCAGGGAGCGGGTCCACAAACAGAAACGGTAGGGGCTGGAGGTGTAGCCAGAGGTCGAGGACTTGCCTAGGATGCACAAGGCCCTGTGTTTGTATCCCAGCACTGCAAAAAAAATAAATAACAAAATTCCAGAGTCTGTGCATGCATAAGATTGAGTGAAAATTAAAACAGAACTAAAGGTTTCCTGCCGCAGTTACGCTGTCCACTCGTATGTGCTAAGCAGCCCCAGCGGCCAGGGTCACCCTCTGAAGTGCAGAGCGTCTCCACCTTGGTAGGACCTCCTGCCGGACAGCACTGCCCCCAACACAAGGTCACCAGAGGAGAAGAAATGCAGCAGAGCCGGGTGCCTCAGCGTGGGGCAGGACTAACTGGCCATCCTGGGAGCAGGGGACATTGAATGTGGCCCCTGGTGCCTTTCCCCCCTCCTGCACCGCCCTGAAGTGTATCCTTATCCACAGCCCAGGAGAAGGAGAACGGGGCAACTCCTTTCACTTAACCGGCACTTCTTCAGAGAACAAAAGGGGAAACTGAGGCCCTGGGCTGTAAGGACTTCTGGGAGGGAGGCCGTGTCCATAAGCCCATCCCTGATCTTCCACCCAGACCAAGAGCTGAGAGAGCTTGGCTTTTTTTCACACCAAGTTATGAGTACCAGGGGTGGAACCCAGGGGTGCTCTGCCACTGAGCCACCCGCCCCAGCCCTTTTTACTTTATCTGGACACAGGGTCTTGCTAAGTTGCCCAGGCCGGCCTTGATCTCGTGGTCTTCCTTCCTCAGCCTTCTGAGTAGCTGGGGATTACAGGCATTACTGCGTCTAGCAATGGTACGGCCCTGGATTTCAGACTGTGGAATTGCTAAATGTTCATTGTACCACAGGATCTTTGTCCAGACTCCCTTAGACCGACCATTTCCTCCCTGTGGAAGGAAGCAAGACCTGTTTAAAGCCACTTTGCCCTTCAGCTACCAACCTCCTGTTCTCCCCTCCCACCCTTTGCTCTAGCACCACTAATCCCATGTCTGCATCTTAATTTCCCTGTTGTGTTCATTTCATATGAATGGAATCACATTAATAGGAGGCTTTTTGTGAGTGGCTTTTCCCACTTACCATCATGTTTTCAAGGTTCATGTTACAGCAGAAATCAAGACTCTGTCCCTTTTTCATGGCTGACTAATATTCTATTGTATGGATATGCCACATTTTATTTACCCATTTGTCTATTGATGGCTTTTTTGAATGGCTTTCAAATCAACAAGGCCAGACAATATGAAAAGCTATCCTTGAAAACTTTAATTTTCTTTTTGGCAATGCTGGGGATGGAACCCAGACCTTATACGTGCTAGGTAAGTGCTCTACCACTGAGCTACACCTCCTTGAATTTTATTATTAAAAAAAAGAATTCTGTGGTGGCATGCATCTCTAGTGCCAGCTACTCAGAAGGCTGAGGTGGGCGCATCATGTGAGCTTGGGAGATCTAGACCAGCCCAGACAACACAGGGAAACCCTATGTCAAAAATAAAAATAATAATTTTGAACAGTAATTCTTAGGATCCTTAACGTTGAGGAACAGATGGCTTAGCCAAAACAAAACAAAGCAAAAATGTGGGCTGGAAATGGAGACCAAGGGCAGAGCACATACCTACATGCACCAGGTCCTGGGTTCAATTCCCAGGACTGTGAACAGAAAAGAAAAATATACCTGAGGTGTACAGGCACTCCATACACTCTGATTTTAAATAACTTTAAAAGTCTTTTGAGGAAAATGAGTGGGAAATTCTATGGCGTTTACTTTCTTCTTTAATGCTCAGCCTTCACACGTGTTGGTTTTAGAGATCAATGTCACCAGAGTTATAGCTTAAGTAGAGGCTAGGTCCTAAATCAATGGAAAATGTGAGGTGTCCAGCACCTTGCAGGCACTTAAAAAACATGGGGTGGATGGGTTGGATGGGTGGATAGGTGGATGGGTAGGTGGATAGATTGATGGATGGTGGATGGACAGATGGATGGATGGATGGATAGTTGAGTGGATGATGGATGGATGGATGGATGGATGGATGATGGATGGATGGGTGGGTAGATGAATGGACAGGTGGATGGATAGATGGGTTGATGGATGAATGTGAATCCAAGTGGATTTAAATCACACATTTTCCACCCAGGATGGATGGAAGGATGGATGGATGGATAGAGAATAGGTGATGGGTGGGTAGATGGATTGATGGGTAGAAGGATGGATGAATGAATAGATTGGTGGGTGATTGATGGATAGATGGACAGATGGGTGGGTGGATGAATGGACAGGTGGGTGGATAGATGGATGGATAGATGGGTGGATGGATGGGTGGATGGATGGATGGATGGACGGGTGGATGGATGGATGGGTGGATGGATGGATGGATGGATGGATGGATGGATGGATGGACAGGTGGATGGAAGGATAGATGGATGGATGGGTGGATGGATGGATGGACAGGTAGATGGAAGGATAGATGGGTGGGTGGATAGATGGATGGATGGGTGGATGGATGGATGGATGGATGGATGGGCAGGTGAATGGATGGGTGGATGGATGGATGGATGGATGGATGGATGGACAGGTAGATGGAAGGATGGATGGGTGGGTGGATGGATGGGTGGATGGATGGGTGGGTGGATGGATGGATGGATAGATGGACAGGTGGATAGAAGGATAGATGGATGGATGGATGGGTGGGTAGATGGATGGATGGATGGATAGACAGGTGGATGGAAGGATGGATGGATGGATCGGTGGGTAGATGGATGGATGGATGGATAGATGGATGGGCAGGTGGATGGAAGGATGGATGGATGGATGGATGGGTGGGTGGATGGATGGATGGAAGGATGGATGGATGGATGGATGGGTGGGTGGATAGATAGATGGGTAGATAGATGGATGGGCAGGTGGATGGAAGGATGGATGGGTGGGTGGGTGAAGGATGGAGGGAGATAGAGAGGGAGGGAAGAGGGAAAGAAAAAAGGGAGGTTGAGTGGATGGAAAAACAGATTCCATGACTTGGGACTATTGGAGAGGGGCCTCTCTTGGCCAAGAGAGGCCACCCAAAGCCCTGTGTGTGCTACAGGCGGCCTGTGACGTGTTCTGCGTGGGGGATGACGTCAACATCGAGAAGGCCAACAACTCCCTCATCAGCAATGACCGCAGCTGGAAGAGGAACAAGTTCCGCCTCACCTACGTGGCCGAAGCACCAGAACTTACCCAGGGTAATGGGCACCACCGCCCCGCCCCCACCGGGAGACCCTTCGCGACAGCGCTGGGGTGGGGGGGAGGGAAGGTGGGGGACCTCACCTGGAAAGGCGCCTCAGTGCCCTCAATGGGTCGGTTTGCTGGACGTCCAAGGGCAAGCCTTCAAGAGTGGACTCGCCCCTCGCCTGCCCCACACCCAGTGCACTGGGGAGCTTCTCTCTCCCGGAATGACAAGTCCCCAGGCCATCCTGCTTCAGTCCCAGCCGATCCCAGCCCATTCTCATGTCTTGTCTCCTCACTTGACCGCAGTAGGAGCAGGAATAGAGGGTCCCTGAAAACCTGGGGCACCTTAGAGGTGCCCTATATCCCCTGAGGGAGACCGGTGTCGCTCTCCACAGGGCTCTCCAATGTCCACAAAAAGAGAGTCTCCGCCGCGCGGCTCCTGAGTCGACAGAACCTCCAGAGCCCCAAGTCCAGGTAGGAATGTGGACGTGTCCACCTCGGCTCCCAGGGGCCACTCACCGCACGGGAGGGCATCTGCTCCCTCCTTGGAGGACCACTGCAAAGTGCCACCGAGCCGCACCCCCCGCCTTGGTGCCTGTCACATGTGGGTTTCCTGTGCCTAGAGGCAGGAACAAAGGAGACGGTGCTGGTCCTGTGAACGGGGGAAAGAGAAAAGTTCTGAGTGATTCTTCACAGTGGGCCACACTTGTGTGGAATTGCTGAGGGCTACTGGACCCCAGGATCTTCATCAGAAAGATTAGTTCCCGCATTTCCTCCAGGTGGACCATTTTTCTGCAGAGCCCTGCAAAAATAGCTAGCTGGCCTCTGCCTAAATGTCTCTGGGATGAAAGGGGGTTTCTCCAGTCCCCCCAAAAAATGCACTCCATGTTTTGCTAGAAATTATCTGAACACCTAACATAGCCAAATATCCAGTCTATATAATATAGTTAAATACCTTATTACCTAAAATAACCCAAGTCTGTCTTCTTAGCAGTTTATGTTAAACCCAGTGAGCCTTCTCAGTGACACCCAAGACGAATTCATGTCTTTCAAATGAGAAACCTTCTGGGTGTGGTGGCACTTGCCTATAATCCCCTCCACTCTGGAGGCTGAGGCAGAAGGATCGCAAGTTCGAGGCCAGCCTCAACAACTTAGCGAGACCCTGTCTCAAAATAGAAAAAAATAAAAAGGGCTGGGGATGTGGCTCAGTGGCAAAGTCATCCTGCCTCAGATCTGGTCTGCCAAGCTTTGGGCTATAGTAAAAGGGTACACTCTGTCCTGTTGGAAATGTCATTTGCAGACCTGGTCACGGTGCAGCGGAAGTCGTATGCTCGCTGCCGAGTGCGCTAGGGCTATTATTGCCGCTGCTGATCTGAACAGGATGTGCTCCTGTCACCCGAGAATTCGGGCGCTGTCCCTAACAGCCCGCTCTCCCATTAAGCCAACGTCCTCCCTGCCCCTTGACATCTCTCTTCTCAAAATGATCAAACCAGGGCTGTCCACCCCTCCCCTTGTATAAATTTTTTTTTTAAAGCACTAATGAATGTCTTTGTGTTGATCGCTGTTGAATCTCGCTTTGTAGTTTAGAGCCCAGGAAGAGCTTTTGAAATCTTGATTCTTTGCACAGCGTCATACAAACAGCGTGCGGTCCGCCTGCACAGCCCCGGGTTCTGACCCCAGCTCTCCCCTGCACGAGCTGTGTGGCCTTGAACAAGTCGCCCAGGTGCTCGGAGCCCATGTCTCCTTCTCTGTGACACAGGAACGAGGGCTGGAGAGATTGCTCATGTTTATCTAGTACTTCCCACGTCCTGAGCACGGTCCTGAGCTCTCTGCCCAGGACCTCACATCATTCATACCAGCCCAGGAAAAAGAGACGGTCTCGTTTTAAATAGGAGGAAATGACAGGAAGTAGAAGTGACCGTTTCAAGGTCACACTGACCCTTTCCAGCTTCACCTCACCTGCCAGTGAGCACACCTGCTTCCTGTGGGGTCTTTGAAACCTTGGATGACCGTGACCAACCTGTCACAGCCCCAGATCCACCTGTTAGAGCCAACCGGTTCCTGTCTCCTAGATCCTCAAACATTAAAGAAGTAGATTGGGAGATTGATCTCTGAATAATTAGTTAAATACAGTGTTCGGAGCTCAGCGAGCTCTGATCTGTAGCGAGAGATCCTCCACGTGGCGTGTGCACCTCACTTTCCACTTCTCTCCCGGGGAAAGGTGTGACTTGCACAGCAATGAAAGAGAAGGGGCAGACAATCTGCCCCAACCTTGAAAGTCCAGTTGAGCAGTGCCCCCCCTAAACCACAGTACAGAAGCAACAAAGGAAAACTGCAGATATTTTGATACCAAAGTGGAACCAAAGTCCCAAATTAGCCTCTGTCCTTTCTCTAAGCGGAGGGTCTAAAAGGGACAGATGAGAAAATTCCAAACAAGGCTAGGAACTAGAACGTAGTATTAAAATCTGTCGTGAATTAGCACAAAGAGGACCAAATTGTACCTAAGTGTTCCTCTCTTTAAAAGCAGGCTCTGGCGCGGTCTGTTTCCAGGCTCAATACTGTTTCCAGCTCCCGAGGTTTGTTATGAGGAATCGAGGAGGAAAGCATCATGCTCCCATTTTTCTCCTGCCCGAGGCTGGGCTCTTTGGCCCTGGAGGCCGCGACTCAGATTCACAGATCACCCCCTCTAGAGGCCCTTAATTGCAAACAAAGTGCCGAGGAGGAAGTAAACTGCTTCTCCAGGGCGATCCTTGCGAATCTAAAGAGAAAAGTGACCACAATGGGTCCTGCCTGGAAATAGAGGTTCTAATCCGTGGACAGCAATTAGCTCACAACGCAGGGGAGCCAGTAATGGAGCACTGATGGGTGAGCAGGGCGAGTCCTAGAGGTCGGGAGGAACGGGCGGTGGCAGAGCCTGGGTCTCCAGGGGAGGACAGGAGAGCCACGGGGCACAGGGGCCTGAGGCCCAGGTTTGGGAGAAGAGCAGACATTGTGGTGGAGGGTCCTTGTTGGAATTCCCATCTCCCCGTGGACAAAGCTGCTGCTCTCTGGCCTTGCCTGCCTCCGCAGAGGACAAGGACAGCCCGAGGGGCTGCCTTGGCTCCTCCCCCCTCACCCTACAGCCGCAGATGCACTTGGCCTTATTCAGTCCTATCTCAGACCCCCAGGGCGGCCACCTTGAGCAAACCTGTGACCATCTCCCATCTGAGTGACTGAAATAGCAAACAGCAGCCTGAGCAAGTCTTTAAAAACCTGAATTGAAGCATGTCACCCCCTTCATTTCACAGCCTTGCCACTGAGCATAGGGAACCCTCTAGACTCTTTGCCATGACAGATTGTGACAAGGCCCGCAGGATCTGGGCCCTGACACTCTCCAAACCCTCTGGCTGTCTTTCCCTTCCTCGAATAGCTCCTGCCTTTTTCTGCCTCAGGGCCTTTGCACATCCATCCCCCTTTCCTGGAACCCTCTGGATCTTTGTGCACCCACTTCTTCTCATTTTCAAATTCCTGTTCGAATATCAGATCACAGAGAAGCCTTCCTGACCACCCTACCTGCTCTCCACCCACCGCCATCACCCAGCCCCTCCAAGTACCCTGGGCCATGTGGCCATTCAGTTCCGTGATCTCATCCAGGAGCCTGCAAAGCCCCTTTGCTTAAAATCCCACCACGCTGGGCAGAGCCTGGGCCAGCAACTTTCATTTCCTCCTACCCCTTACCCTCTGCTACATTCAAGAGGACCTGGGGAAAGTGGCTGGGAGCGTGAGCCGGCTGGTCAAGTTCAGGTCCTCTGCATTGTGATCTTGTGCAAATCCTGATGGTCACGGGAGAAAGCAGGTATTGATTTGGCAGCCTTTCAAAAGGCTTCCTCTGCGGGAGCCCAGGAGGCTCCCAAGTGAGAAGCCTACAGCGCCCCCTGGCTGCTGGCTGCGGCTCACTCCCTGCCTGCCAAGGCTAGGTAATGAGGTCTTGGCTCCTCAGGAGCCCTCCCGGGAGCTCAGGGGAGAATCAGTCATGCGCGTTCATACAATTTGACAAGATCATTGCTCCAGAGAGGATGAGACCTGCTTTTGAAAGGAGAGAGGAGCCCCAGGCCCTAACAGTACCATTCACAATTATGACCACAAGCTCCCCATCTTATTAAGTAAGGACAGGGGTGCCAGGCTTCGAGAAAACACTGGACATTCCCCCCATCAACACACACAAAAAAATGTGTCAGCTCAGCTGTTTTTAATAACGGTGGCTATTTGTAGCACAAAGGGGGCTCTTGGTTGTGCCAAAAAATGCTTCTATGTAGCGAGTGCCGTTGGTCTATTGGAGTGTGATGTACGTACTATGGAGACTATGGGGAATTTCCGGTTGAATATCCAGCATCCCCATCAACCGAAAGCCACTGGCCACGGAGGAGGAGCAGATTTGGAAAAGCAAACACAGTACGAGGGATTTGACGTCCCAAGGTTTCTGTCTCCGTCCCAGCGTTTGCAGAGATCAAGTGAAGGGCAGTGTCACCGGCACTGAAACTTTTCAAAGGACCAAAACAATGACGTTCTGAGAATTCTTCAAGTTCAGGCTTTCTGGACTTCAAATGCAAAAATCAGTGTGAAAGGGCGTGACCGGGCAGGCGTAAAAGTGCTTCTCTCAAGGTGTTCTTCTGAGACCTCGCCATTTTATGATCTCAGTGAATTTAGGAGTGAGGGGAACCCAAGGGTAAGGCCAGGTCTTTTTTTTTTTCCTGACAATATGAACACCCTGGTTGTAGAAGAGGATGGAGCTGGGAATTCCTAGGAGAGATCGGCGCTGAGCACAGGGTCTGTCCAGCGACGGGCTCACCCCGGAAGTCTGAGGTTCTGTCATTCATCAGATAACTTTTGGGGAACTTTGTATGTGCCATATGCTGTCCTAGGCACAGGGATACGGCTATGGATAAAACAGAAAGATGGCTTGCCATCAGAGAGAGGGGACCCATCACCAACCTCAGGAGGAAGTAAATGATTCTCTGGGTCAGAGGATGGGAAATGGAGAAAAGTAACTCAAAGGCAGGGGAGCAAATATGTGTGAGGATTAAGCCTGGGGTGCTCCAACGTTCAGCATTCAGCATTAAGGGGGAAACCCAAAGGAACCATCAAAGCACATTGGGACCGCGTGCAGTGGCTTATGCCTGAAATCCCAGCGGCTCAGGAGGCTGAGGCAGGAGGATCACGAGTCCAGCCTCAGCAACTTAGCGAGGCCCTAAGCAACTCAGGGAGACCCTGTCTCTAAATAAAATACCAAAAAAGGGCTGGGGATGTGGCTCAGTGGTTAAGTGCCCCTGGGTTCAATCTCTAGTATGAAAATTTTTTTTTAAAAAGAGCAAACTGGCAGGACCAGCCAGAGGTATGGACAGGACTGCTTCCTTAATCCAGATGAGTCCAAAAAAGCATTCGTTGGACTTGCAACCAGGGGCTCTTGGGAGAGCTGGATAAGAGCTATGGTGTACAATGATGGGTCCTTGTTGGCATGGTCCCCAAGAAAGACGGGGGAGGTGGAATTGGGGCCAAGAAGGACAGAGAGCAGCAAAGAAAGAGGGCAGAAGCTGGTGGCCCTGATCCTGTTTTCGCCCTTGACCCTCCCTACAGCCGCTCAACCATCTTTGTGCGCCTCCACACCAACGGGAACCAGGAGCTCCAGTATCAGCCTGGGGACCACCTGGGCGTCTTCCCTGGCAACCACGAGGACCTCGTGAACGCCCTCATCGAGCGGCTGGAGGACGCACCCCCTGTCAACCAGATGGTGAAAGTGGAACTGCTGGAAGAACGGAACACAGCTTTGGGTAATGCTCCCAGGGACCCTTCCCCTTCCTGGGGAAGATCCAGGGGGGGCAGGCAGGGGGGCACGAGGAGACACGTTGCCCTTCCCACTCACTGATCCAGGTGGGAGGGAGGGAGGGTCTGTTCCACCTCCGGCTTCTGAGACAGACGCCCCCTTTCTCGTGGTTGCCCCACGTTGGCCTGGCTGTCAGAGCAGATGCCCGTGGCTCATCAGTGGGAGAAGGGGTTCCTCCAAAATAGCTGTAGTACCCCGAGTGAAGAACAGCGAACGTCTAAGTCAGACCCCTCTCGGGATCCAAAGGTCCTACAGGAGGCTTAATGGCCAGTCAGTACCATGGCGTCCTTAGATCATGTTCCAACCTGTTGGGGGTTTTCCAAAGGCAGAGAGGGTCTCAGTGATTCATCTCAATAGCACAGGTGGGCTGAAGAGTCCCTGGAGGTAGAAGAATCATACCCCAGTATCCAGGACCCACCCCCACCCGTAGACACCCAGATCCATAGAAACACTTGGATGCGCAAGTCCAGTATGTAAAGTGGAGTAGTTTTGGCGCATATCCTACATACCTCTTCCTGCGTACCTTAAATGCTCTCTAGATGGCTGGTGACATCTAATACAGTGCAAATGCTCTGTGAATAGTTATTGTGCCATATGGTTTAGGGATGATGATAAGGGGGGAGGGTGGAGTCTGTCCACATTCGGTACAGGCAAAAAATTCCCAGCAAATATCTTCGATCCTCAGTAGAATCCACAGAATGCCGGGGCTGTGGATTTGGAGGGCTGACCGTGCAAGGTGGTACTCAGAACAAGACCCTGACGCTTGTGAGACTCCCTGACTTCACCCTTAAGAGCCGCGTGGCCTGGGACAAATCTCTGAACCTCCCTTTGCTTCTGCCTTTCTCAATGGGGGATAATGATAGCACTCACCTCGTGGGGTTGTTATGAGGGTTAAATGAATTAATAGCATAAAGGGCTGAGAACAGCGCTTGGCAGGTAGAAAGTGCTGGGTGCGTGTTAGTCATGCATGTCACCTCCGGGGGGTGAGAACTGACATCACAAGAGCACAGGTGCAGCCAGAATCGACGCCTATCTCAGGCTCTGCCTGTTTGATATTCTTCTCCTCTGCTCATGTTTATTTTTTAATTTTTGGCCTCGTTTGCCTCATTGCGCACGTGAGGCACCCAGATGGTCTCCCAGGCCTGTGGAGGTGTGCAAGGTGGAGAGCCCATAGGTTGCCCACCGGGCCCCCTCCTCTGCCCCAGCCGCAGGCCTGGTCCCCTGACGTGGACCCCAGCCCTCCCCGGCCTCCTCACCCCTTGTGCCTCCCCCAGGCATCATCAGCAACTGGAAGGACGAGTCCCGCCTCCCGCCCTGCACCATCTTCCAGGCCTTCAAATACTACCTGGACATCACCACGCCACCTACGCCCCTGCAGCTGCAGCAGTTTGCCTCCCTGGCCACCAGTGAGAAAGAGAAACAGCGCCTGCTGGTCCTCAGCAAGGTGGGTCCCTGGGCTCCGCACACCTCTAGGGGGCCCTTTTCCCCTCCCAGTATTAGGGAACTCTAAAGCTGTTGTTCCAACCGTCTTCCAGCAGATGGCAGTCTTGAGCCATGGTTACCATTTTCTCATTTGCATATGGCCGCCATATTGGCTCATCTACTTTTGGCTAGGCCTAACCCTCTCCCCTTGTCCTGAGGCCTGACAGAACAAGAGCAATCCCCTTGGTGTTCAAAGTTCTCTGGCCACCGTGGAAATTGTGTGTCACCTTCTGCCAACTGCCTTTGTTATCTGGAGCTTCTGGGAGCACCATTTTAGCCCATGCTTGGAAGAAAAAGGAACAGAGGATCTCAGAGTGGCAGAGGAGCAGTAGGTAGAATGGCTAGACATAGAGGCCTCTGGTGACCAAGTTCATCACTCTTGCTTAGAAACACCGTGGACTCACCTACCCTGAGCCGAACCGTTGCACATCCTGCTCAGTAAGAACCCTGCCGAGGAGGACCACCCAGGCTCCTTGGGTTAGCGTTCTTCTGCTGTCTAGGAGACGGGTCCGAATGGCAGGCACAAGAAAAAGGCTAGTTAGCAAGTGCACATCATTCAGAAGAAGCAGATAAAGAGTTATAAGTGGCTACCTCTGGGGAGCTGGAAACGTACAGAAGCAGGGGAACAGGAGGCCATTATTTTTAATCAAAGCTTGGCAGACTTATTTAACTTTTTAGACTATGTCCATGTAAAACTTTTATTTAAATGTTGTAATTAATGAGGGGATATGAGAAGGAACCAGAGGCTGTGCCGCCTGCACAGGATTATTTAAAGTTAGGACTGGGGCTCTTGGTCAGTTACACTTCAGCAGCTGGATGTCATCGAGGCTGTAGGCCGGACATGCACATTCCCAAGGATGCCATGCTCTGTTGATAAGGCAAAGAGGGTCTTCAGGAGTACGTTACACAAAGCCCTTGTAATTGACCTTACCCCTGGTCTCAGAAACTGAGTCTCTTATATCAACAATAAGGAACCATCCAGGGCCGTTATCTGGGATGTAGGAGCCCCAGGGTTCCTGTGTTCCCTGGGAACCACCGGGCTTTGCTGTCAATATGCCCCCACATGGTCCTCCACACCCCAGTCTGCTTTTCCTGGGCTGTCTGTCACCATCTTGAAATTGGCCATCTCTCCAAGGATGCATTTCCAGGCTCAGCAACCAAACAAATCTCGAGCCTGCCTTCTGCACCTGCTGCAACCAGCTGGGACTCAGTATGCCTCGGCTCTCCTCAGGGTCAGGAGCACAGAATCTCAGGCCAGGCTGCCCAGAGCAGGGATTGGCAGACTTTTTCCTGTAAAAGTCCAGGTAATCAGTATTGTAGGCTCATGGCCCATTGGGTCTTTGTGACAACTGTTCATTCTGCCATCATCATACAGCTGCGTAGATGATGTGACCGTGTTCTCATCCAACCACTCAGACACTGGCGTGAATTTTATTGTACCATATTCTTATGCCATAAGGTATTGTTCTCCTTTTGATTTTTTTATTCCCCAACCATTTAAAAAAGTAAAAACAATTCTTTTTTAAAAAAATATTTATTTTTTAGCTTTAGGTGGACCCAATATCTTTGTTTTATTTTTATGTGGTGCTGAGGATTGAACCCAGTGCCTCACACATGCCAGGCGAGCGTGTTACTACCTGAGCCATATCCCCAGCCGCCCCCAAACAACAATTCTTATCTCACAGGGGGCAAGTCAGGATTGGCGCACAGGATGAGGTTTGCCACCCACCCCCGCCACTTAAGATTTAAATTCCAGCCATCATCGCTGAGTAGCCACAGGACCTCTGTCATGTTTAATGTCCTCATCTGTAAAATGGGGATGATTGAAATGCCTGCTATGGTCTGAAATTGTCCATCCCCCACCCCTAAAATCATGTGTCAAAATTCATATACCCAGGGTGATGGCATTAAGAAATGGGACCTCAGGGAAGTGACCGTGTCGAAAGGACTCTCCCCGGTGTATAGGATTAGTATCTTTATAAAAGAGCCCCGAGGGAGCTAGTTCTCCCCTCCTGCCACGTGAGGACACATAGCACGGGGCCGTAGATAAAGAGCAGATTCCACCAGATTCTGCTGGCCCCTTGACCTTGAACTTCCCAGCCTCCAGGACTGTGAGCACTGCATTTCTGTGGTCTGGATTCACCATCCTGAGGTATTTTGGTGCAGCAGCCCACAGGGACGAAGATGGTGTCTATTTGATAAGGTCCTCGGGCGGTCAGATCCTGGAGCGGCAGGATCCCTGTGCACGTGCTCCTCCTCCTTTATTTCCCTGGTCTCAACCTCTCTCGGCCCTCTCCTTGGCGCAGGGCTTGCAGGAGTACGAGGAGTGGAAATGGGGCAAGAACCCCACCGTGGTGGAGGTGCTGGAGGAGTTCCCGTCCATCCAGATGCCGGCCACCCTGCTCCTCACCCAGCTGTCCCTGCTGCAGCCCCGCTACTATTCCATCAGCTCCTCCCCGGACATGTACCCCGACGAGGTGCACCTCACCGTGGCCATCGTCTCCTACCACACCCGAGGTGGGCAGGGGAGCTGGCAGAGCCCGCCCCCCCCTTCATTCCCCCCCAAGACCTCCACAGGTGGTCTCTTCCTGAGCCACTAATCACAGGCCAACCCAAATCCCCGCAGGGCAATCAAACTGTCCCCAGCAGAGTTAGGACAGAGGCCAGACGGGCATGTGGGAGGCTGCATCTCCTGGCACCCCAAGACAGCAACGAGAACAGGCCACCCCACCATTCCCTGGGGGGTCTCTGCTGTATCAGGTGCCCAGATGAGTCAGACGACCCTACCTCTGTTCCTATACTGTCCCTCCATGATCTGAAGATCTCTGTAACCCGGACCCCAGGGAGCCACCCAGACCACCCCGAGGGGGGTCCTTCCAGTGGATGGGAATGGAGGGTGCACCCGGGGCAGGCGTGCAGCTATGAGCTCACTTCGGCTCTACCGTCTCCTCTTCCCCTTTAGAGGAGGGGATCCTGAGTAGGAATTCCAAAGCAGAAATATGGGGTCAGCCTGTGAGCGTTCTGGCATTGGAGGGAGGAGAGGCCATGCTGCTGGGGGGAGGGAGGTAGATGCACCAGAGCATCCTGCTTCCCCCACTAGATGGAGAAGGACCAATTCACCATGGTGTGTGCTCCTCCTGGCTCAACCGGATACAGGCTGGCGAAGTGGTACCCTGTTTCGTGCGGGGGTAAGTAGCCAAGGACAAAAGAGGAACAGTCATCCCAAATCTGCATGTTGATATTACAAGTTGGAGTCGGGGGAGCAGCCTGAGGGCTGGGACGGACGGGATCAGCACCAGTTTCCCTCCCGCATCGCCCTAAGTTGTTTGGGTTATGAGATCTTGGGGCCGAGCAACACGTCGAGTTAAGTGTGCCCTCTAAGCAAGGTCAAGTCAACGCTGTAGATATTTATCAAGTGTGCATTCTGCTCTGCATGCTGGGCAACCAGGCACAGACAGTCTCAGACGGGTGAAAAGTCTATCCAAATTCTTCTGGTCACCTTCAAACGGTTCCCAGTTTCTTAGAGATGGAGAAGACCCAGCCATCCCATCCATTAGGGCGTTTCCTCCCCAACTCAGTTTTAGAGCTTCGACCTGTGAGGCACAGCGGTTCATCCCTCAGCAACTTCTCTCCCTGAATGGTGGCCTCAGCCAACCCTTCTTCTCAGCTGTTGGGGGTGGGATGTTCCCACTTGGTCCACATACCATTTTCCAAACCCCCTGGAGCATCTCAAAAATAGAGTCCTGAGCCCCACTTTGCTGCATCCCCAGAAATCTTCAGGTTTAACATTTCCAGGTGATTCTTTAAGCTCTGATGTCCAGGGATCTCTGATTTAAGATCTCGTGGGTGGATGTACCAGGGGTTCCCAGCCCAGTTCCCTGGTCCCAGGTGAAGAGCACTAAGTGGCTCTACGTGTCTGCGGGACACAGACGCCTGGTCTACCTCAGGCTCCGCTGTCCTGGACGGGATCTGACCTCAGCAGAGCTTCTGACTTTCTCTTCTTGTCCCAGTGCACCCAGCTTCCACCTGCCCCGAAACCCCCAGGTCCCCTGCATCCTGGTTGGCCCAGGAACTGGCATCGCCCCTTTCCGAAGCTTCTGGCAGCAACGGCAATTTGACATTCAACACAAAGGTGGGGTACAGCCCGGCAGCCACTTCCTTTCCACCCTGAGTCTCAGCAGCCCCAGGGAACGGCGGGATGCCTGGAAGGGGTGGGGGGAAGGCAGCCAAACAAATCTCCCACCCGACATGGCCTCACGGCTTGAAATTCCATGCCCAGGGACAGCACTGTGATTATTTAAGGTACAGCCCCTCATAAAAATTCAAGCAGGGTCAGCCTGCGCCCTTATCAAATGGCTGTGTTGATGTGATTCTCCTGTGGACTGTTATTCAAGAGCAGACTCTGCTAGGTGAGAGCTGTAACAGTTCCATTTTTGGGAGAAGGAGACACCCCACAAGCGTGGCCCTGATCAAACAAGGAGTCCTTGAGCACCTAATAAGTGCTCAACCTGAAGGAAGGTGTTGGGTGGGTAGCAACCAACAAAACAGAAAAGCAACTCAAAAATCAAGACCTGCCCAAGAAAACATTGTTCTGCAGAAAAGCTAACATTTATAAAGTATTCATTAAGTGTGCCCAGTTTTCATATTGCACACTTATTTCTCATGGTAATTCCATGATGTAGTTGTTGCTATTACGGCCGCCCCACACTCCGCCCATTCCATGAGTTCTGAATCTACAGGTTCACCAACTACAGGTCTGAAATACCCAAAGAAACATATTACATCTGAACTGAGCATGTGCAGACTGTTTTTCTAGTAATGATTCCGTAAAAGATACTGTAACCTCTATTTCCCTAACGTTTACACTGTTGCGGTAGCACAGGTCATCCAGAGGATCTGCAAAGTTTCTATGCAAATACTGCACCATTTATTTAAGAAAGTAGAGCATGCTCTCAGGTTTTGGGATCTGAACAAGGTCCTGGGGTCCTTCTCCTGTCAATACGGGGGGACCGCTGGTTTCATTGTGCACAGGGAAAAACTGAGGCTTAGAGGTGCAGTTGGTTGTGCTTTGTCACACAGAGCAGGGATTTGGACCAGGTGTTGGAGCTCAAGTCTGGGCTCTTAGCGCTGCCTGATGGTAGAGGCTGCTAAGTCGTCTAGGAGCCAGGGAAGGGAGATCCGAACACACCTCACCGCCTGCCCTGTTGTCTGTGAGCTTCTGCCTGCTCAGCCACCCCCCCCCCCCAATCAGGTGTCAGAGCTGTCTGTGACATGAGATCTTCCCGGTCCCCAGGAATGAGTCCCTGCCCCATGGTCCTGGTCTTCGGGTGCCGGCAATCCAAGATAGACCACATCTACAGGGAGGAGACCCTACAGGCCAAGAACAAAGGGGTCTTCCGAGAGTTGTACACGGCCTACTCCCGGGAGCCAGACAAACCAAAGGTAAGCCCGGCCCCGCCCACTAACGCACTCCTACACGAACATACCCTCGCAAGTCCTGTCTTAGAGACCCCCCTTGCCCTGTCTGAATCCCCCGCTGTGGATTGGCTCTGCACTTGAGAAACCCGGGAGAGGGCATCTGTTTAAAATATTTAGCAGCCCATATTATAGCACTTTACAGACATGAAATGCTCAAAGCAGGAGATGCACAGACCAAAAGCAGATTTGAGAATGTGCAGGACCAGGAAAAAGGGGTCACAGGGAGCGGAGGGCCTGGTTTCCATTGGAGTGACAGAAAACTCTGCAACTGGATAGTGGCGATGGCCGCACGACACAGTGAATGTCATTTAATGCCATCGAATCACGCACTTGAGCATGGTAGATTGTATATTCTGTATATTTTACCACCATTTTTTAAAAGTTAATTTTAAATAAATAAACAAATAAACTATTTCAAAAGTATAAGTTAACCATCCATCAGAGGTCGTACTACCAATCGGAATGGACTGGCCCAGGCTTCTGCTGGGTCTTAGAGATGTCCCCAGGGGTCCCAGGGAAGGGGCTGGGGCCTCTGTGGCTGGCGGGCATGCAGAGCAGTTCCTGGGGAAGTCTGTCAATCTTAATGGCACCCGGGAGGTACCAACGGAATGTGAGTGTCACCTGGCGTGGAGTTTCCAGGACAAGTTAAAGACAAACTCGCGAAGGCCATGTGAGACGTCCCTGTGACCCTCTCCCCCCTCCCAGCCCACCTCTTAGTCCAGCCGTTCTGCTTTAGCCAGTTCTGCAGAGGTGCAGGCTGGCCGCCCCCATCTTGCCTCAGCCATGCCGTCTGTCCTGAGGATTCTCTGGCACCGCGACCTGGGGTACCTGCCGCACCGCGGTGGGTACAGATGTTAACACCTGTGTGTGAGCAGTGGCCACGGGGAGAGGAGCAGGTGGATAATGCCTCCCTTCCTGGGAATGACTCTGGGACTCTCTCTCTGGCTCCCTGGAGGGTCCTCAGCAGACTTGAGCTCCGGTTGCCCAACGTGGGGAGTCGCTCCTTCACACCCCAGGGACCCCCTTTCCACCTTACCCATTTTGTTCTTCCCAGCTCCTGACCCCTTTCCCCTGGGAACACCCCGCAAGCCCCTGAGCCATACCCTGCGCCTCCCAGAGCCCCTCCCCTCCTCACAGACCCTCCCCTCCCTGCAGAAGTACGTGCAGGATGTCCTGCAAGATCAGCTGGCCGAGACTGTGTACCGAGCCCTGAAGGAGCAAGGGGGCCACATTTACGTGTGTGGAGATGTCACCATGGCTGCCGATGTCCTCAAAGCCGTCCAGCGCATCATGGCCCAGCAGGGGAAGCTCTCGGAGGAGGATGCCGGAGTATTCATCAGCAGGCTGAGGGTGAGTGAGTGACAGGCTGGCATCTGGGTCCCTTGTCTCGCATCCTTCCTGTCTCTTCTTCCCCGCCCCACCTGTCGATAATTTGGGGAGCTGTAATGACATGTCACTTTTGCACTTATGATTGAGAATAGAGGTTATAAGGAGTCAGGGGAGGAATCCCAAATCCTGATTGAGAAAGGAGGTACGATGGCTGGGCATGCAGGTGCATGTAGTAAATATGGTTGAGAACTGTCAAGTGTGGAAATAGCGAGTGGACCTCTAGTTAGTTATATAGAAATGAACTCAACCCAATTTTCTCTGCCCCCCAGAACCAAGCTGCAAAACTGCCCTCTGCAGTTGTACAGGTAGAGCACTGAACAAAAAGATCTGTCCAAGGGAGAGACAGAGGTCTGAAAGCCACCCCATGCTTAGCTCTCTAAACCATGCACGTTGGCATGGAGCTGCATCTACCCTGAAGGAAGGATCTTTTCCTGACACACCCAAAGGTTGGGCAAAGACTGGTGATGGCTCAGTCAGCAAAGTCCTAACCATGTGACCAACCTCCCCAAATCCAACACAGTCCTAGACCCCTACAGATCTCTAGGTGTGATCCCTCCTTTCCCTTGCTTTCCTAAATGAGCAGTGATCGACATGTTTATGGAAGAGGCCCTTACTCTAAATCTGATGCTAAACCCCAGGGAGATTTTAAAAAAGAGTTTCTGATGGCGTGTGTCCGAGCAGAGCTGCGGAGCTGCCCTATCCCCCGTCTCTCTGCCCTGATCCTCCCGGTCCCTGTCCTGGGTTCCCCAGGACTCCGTAGGATACAGTTGAAAACCCTTCCCAACTAAACACAGACCCGCTCTACAGGTGGGTCCAGGGAGACTGGACCAGCACAGGGGCCTGGCGGGCTGAACCGCCCCCAGCCGCTGCCCCTCCTCAGCATCCAGTTGGTTTTGCCTCCCACCACTGACTGCCCACCCTGCCAGAGGCACTCCCATGGCTTCCAAAATCCTTGCCTCCCAAGGGGTCCCCACTCTGGGCAGCTGTGGGGGTGTACCCTGGTGGCTTCCCAGCCACTTTTATTCCCCTCAACCCGCTGATCTCCCTGCCCTGGGACATTTCCCACGGACCCCTGCCTTGCCCAGGTCTGAATTTGCAGGAACAGGTTAGAGGGAGGAGAGGGGAGAACGGTGAGCTTCCCACTTGGCTTGGTCACTCTGGGTTCCACGTCTGCCCAGCCGTGTGGCCCCATTTCTGCATGGCAACACCAGAGTTCCACCGGACTAGAGTGGCCTCCTGCCCTCGAGGGTAGAGTCTCGCTGACACAGAGCCTTGGAGATCAGAGGTTCCCTGGGGACACGTGGCTCAGCCTGGTGTCTCTAGGAACCGTCTCCTTTGGGTACCTTCCACTCGGGGGTATCCGTCCTGTCTACACCTTTATCTGGCATCTGAGGGCCGTTCCCTGGCGGTTTCTGTCCCCTAGGATGACAACCGGTACCACGAGGATATCTTCGGAGTCACCCTGAGAACGTACGAAGTGACCAACCGCCTTAGATCTGAGTCCATTGCCTTCATTGAAGAGAGCAAAAAAGAGACAGATGAGTACGTCGGCCCCGCCCTGGAGGGGTAGGCAGAGTCCTCTCTTCTGTCCCCGTGGACGGCTGACTTACCCACCATGGGGTCCCTGGGCCAGCAGCACACTGCCACCCTCTGGGGACCTGTTAGAAATGCAATTCCCGCGCTGCCCCAGACCTGCTCTATGTGCAGTTAGGGACCTGGGGCACCACCGCGATCAGTCCAGGGAGGTCTGAAGACCCTGCTTAGCACGCGGCATCTGTCTGGGGTGCCCCCTACGGCTGTGGTGGCTCTCACTCTGCACCAGGTTGACGGTGGCTTTCTCCTCAGTGTAAATATCAACTGCTAGAATGTTGACAGTTTGACTCACCCCCTAGAAATGGCTGGAAACAGTGCCGTCTCAGCGTGTAACCTTACCTTAACTCCAGGACATAACAGCCTCGTGGCAATCTCTCTGCCCCATGCCCTCCCCATACCCTGGCCATGTGCCCTGACACAGGCAGGAATCCAGCCATCCCAGAGCACAAGGGCACACTCACACTCGGTTCTTACACTTAGCAATTTTACTGTTTGCTCTTCGAAGTGAGGCACCTGTCTCCAGACATACTTTGTGCCCACTCAGCTTACATGACCGCCTTTAAGATCACGCCCTCCTCACAGCTAGCTGGGTGCCGTGGCATAGCCTGTCATCCCAAGGGCTCAGGAGGCTGAGGCAGGAGGATCTCGAGTTCAAAGCCAGCCTCCGCCACTTAGCAAGGCGCTCAGCAACTGAGACCCTGTCTCTAAATAAAAAATTTTAAAAAGGGCTGGAGATGTGGCTCCGTGGTCGAGTGCCCTGAGTTCAATCCCTGGTACAAAAAAAAAAAAAATGTAAAGAAGACCAGGTTAAAAAAAAATCCCTCCGGGTTCCATCCCCAGTACCAAAATAAAATAAATTAAAAGAAAAATTTATAAAATCGCTTAGTGGTAGAGCGCTTGCCTGGCATGTGTGAGGTCCTGGGTTCGACCCCCAGTACAGCAAAAAAATAAATAAATGAATGATTGTAAAAGATCACACCTTCCTTGATTGTCAGAAGCCCCTGGGTGGCCCTCCCCCAGCTCCTGTGACACTAATGCCCGCCCTCCTGTCCTCCCACAGGGTCTTCAGCTCCTAAGTGGATTCTCCAGCCTAGAGGGACAGCAGGCGGCCACCCCAAGTGCTGCACAGGGGCGGCTGCGGGCTTCCGACGGGCGCACACACGGCTGCACCTTTCCTCCAGGACCCCCGGGTCCCCGCTCTGCCTCTCATCCTGTTGCTGTGTCCTGGTGTCCTCCTCTGGGTTCCTGCCCCCCCCCCCAGTGGCTTCCTCGGCCCCCCTGGGTCTGCTCCTTGAGTTTTCCTGCCGCGACGCGACGCCTTCGTACCCTGCGGTGGCTCTCCCGAAACCACGCCTCACTGCTGTCCTGCCGACGACGAGGGCAAATCGCGGGTGCATGAAACCACCGGATCGTGGCCACTGCTCCTCTCGGGTCTGTCTTCTGCTGTCCCCCGGGAAGGCTGCAGGTTCTGGACAGAAGCCTTCTGAGCTGGTGCCTCTGGAGTCCCCCCTCCTTTCTCACGATCCCTGTTTTGGTCGTGTGTGTGACGTGCGCGGGACGGGCCCAGGTCTCCGTCTGTCCTCTTGCCCGTGCAAGCCTGTCCATCTTAGACCTGCGTCCACTGCCTTCGTGAAAGACCCTTGGTGCCAAGAAACGTGCCCCTGGCCCACGTTGAATCCTCGTGTGTCTGTAATTGAGGGTCTGCGCTGACGTCCCTTAAAACACTCTGAGGCTCCCCAAAGAAGGGTTAGGGAGTGAGGAGGGGGCTGTGGTGGTGGAGGGGACAATCTCCCCGTGAAATGGCGAGTCGTGGAATTGGAGGCATCTGGATTCTCAGGCCAGTCGGCGGAGTCCTTACCATACCACCAATGGCTTGGGCAGACCCCCCCCCCCGCCCAAGCCCACCTACCCCAGCCAGCATTGCCCTGGCCACGGTCATCGAGCCCTTCCCAGGGATCCCATCTGTGAGGCCCAGAGCCCTACGGTCCACGGGAACCTGCTGGACATACCGTCTTCCCACTTGGCTAATACGGATGAGTCGCTTGTCCTAAGTTTCCCCGAATCAAATTGCTACCGACCTGAAAGGGACGAATGGGCTGAGCCTCACGTTTCAGAGCGTGGGCATTCTGTCAAAGAAGAATACAGTGGTCATTATTTTCTTTTTCCTCCAAATGGGGCTTGCGGCTTTACCTTAGGATTAAAATACGTGGCGAGGTCAGTTAAAAGGGATCCGAGTGGACGGAGGCCCCCTGTGGATTTTTCTCTAGGAACCCTGAGGCTTTCTGCTTTCTAAAATTGGCCTCCGGATTATTGAACCTGCCGAAATAATTTTGGCAAATAAATAATACCTTCCACTCGGATCCAAAAAAATAAAAATAAAAAAACTGGGTAGCCAAGTCTCCAGCAGGGTTCAGGGCAGGAGGCCTGCAGAGTTTGCCCCCTCGGGGTGAATGCGGAGGGAGGTCCCTTCCACACTCAAGTGCTAAAATCAATGTCAGGCAGCATCCAAATCCCATGACCCCCCCCTACCCTCCAGGGCCCAGCGGTGGGTCCATTCTAGCCTTCTGCCATGTTGGTTTTGTTTTGTCCCACAGAAGAACTCTGTCCCCTTGAGGTCCTATGCAGGACACTGCCTTCCTGATGCTCAGTGTAGAGAGCGGACAGAGAAAGTACCGTGGCCCCATGGGGAAGGGCTTCACAGGTAGGGTATCAAGACCCCAAGGGCTCCAACTCCGAGATCTTGAAAGGACAAGCCACAGCTCATCTTTGCCCACCCTCCCCGGCAGCCCCGATGGGTGTCCCTGGCATCTGCAGTTTGTCCCAGTTCTAATCTCTCCCGCCTCCAGTTAATCCCAGGTTTTCCGGTTCAGGCTTCCACGGATGCAGAGACTCAGTCCCTGGTGTCCCATAGCAACCCTTTCCCACCTGGAGGGAAGCCAGCTCCAACTTCCTTCAGTCCTGCCAGCTTGATGCTGGGCTCCTAGTAGCTTTTCTCCCAGGCACTTTTTAAATGGTTTTTCCAACCCTTTGAACCCTTGGGGACACTTTCTAAGATGTCTCTAGTTCCCCAGGACAGAATGATTAGGTCAACCTCCATCAAAGAGGAATAAATCACCACTTCCCTCTCCAAACCAAGTTTCCACTGCTGAATGAGGAGCACTTAGTATGTGCCGGGCACCTGCCTCCTGTACACCTCTCCCCTTCTAGAAGCCGGGGACAGATGGAAACATCTTTTCGTTTTGTCAGAGAGTCCAGAGAAATAATTATATAACCAGCATTCATCCTTCTGCCCAAGCAGGACCTCTTTTTTTTTTTAACCTCAGACACAAACAGCTTCATAACTCCCTGTTAGAAGACAGGAGACCAAGCTGATGTGTTTTTCTCCTGGGCGGAGATTTCCCACCCCAGAGAGCCCCACCCTACTGCTTAGCCAGAGAAGAGGCAGCCACCACTGTGGGTTGAGCTCTGATCCAGGGTGGGCAGATGCTGCCCCCTGCTGGCGGCATCTAGTTTGGTCCCCAGAACCAACTACAGGAGTAAGATACAGGTTAGCAATGGGTAAACCAAAGGGTTACCCAGGTAGCGGTCCCTTTATTTGCCGCTCCCTGCTAAACTGGTAGCTCTGACCATAACCCACCTCATAAAAGTGGGTTTGTCCAGGAAGCTCATGAGATAGTCCTGAAACAGGGACACAGGCACATCATACCATACTGTCCCCACTGTGACCACAGCTCCACACCTCGTGTGGGGAAGAACACCGTTAAGCCCACTGAGAGGAGAGAGGCCCTTCCTTGGTGTCCTGGATGTGTGACAGCCAGGCATTCTGTTTTGTTTTGTTTTGGTTTGGGGTTTTTTGTTATTTTTTAAGGGGAAACACTGAAGATCCACCAAAATGGAGTTTTAGAAACAGAACTGGGTCCATGATGCCCCTTTTTAAGTAGGTGGCCATGGTGACTTGACCTTTCCATGTCTGTAGATCCTCCTGTCCAACGAGGGGATCCTGAGACGATGCCCAGTAACGGCATCTGGCCCAAACGCCCATGAATTTTGATTTCTCACTTATTGGTACCACGCCTGGCCTCCCCAGGGTGTGGAAGGTGTCTACAGAGACTAGCAAAATGTGGCTGCTGCCCTGCAGAAGGCTAGAATCCGGTGGGCAGGGAGCTGCCCCCAGGATGGATGTGGGTGTCTGGGGCGTGGGGGGTGCGTAGGATTTCACCATGGACAATGGAAGACAAGAGTGGCCGCGGGGGAGGAGGGATCCAAGGCAGGCGTAGGCAGGGAGTGTGGGGTGCATCGGGGCTGGTTTGGAGGCAGAGCCAGGTACAACTGCTGAGGGGGATCCCTGGGAATGTGGCCAGGACCAGACTGTGGGGCGAGGTGAGCGGTATAGCAGGGCTTAGACGGTGCCTAATAGGTGACAGGGAGGTCCTTACGAGTGTCTTTCCCAAAGGGAAATGAAGGTGATTGGAATTATGTTGCCAGAGAAGGTTCTGACCACAGGCTAGAGTGTGCATGGCTGAGTTGCGGACGGACGGTTGCTGTCATCTAGGCGTGAGCCAGACAAGAGGCAGTAGTAATGATACACAGAGTCCAGGGGCTGAACCAGCAGGACCGGATGCCCTTTGGACAGTGAGGATTAAAAAAAAAATTGGAGCTGTGAAAAGGTCGGGCTCCCAGGGAAGGTGAGTCTGCAGCCTTGACCCGATGGCCAGCTCTCTGCAGGTCCAGAGTGAGCCCTTCCAAGGTCCAACGGGGTCCAGATGCCCACAAAGAAAACAGACTCTTAACTGGAGATGCTGGCCTAGGAACGGAGGCTCCTCCTGCCAATCGCTCTGAGCAGCCACCTGCTTTGGGCTTCCAAGGAGGTCAGGTTTTGCCCTAAGCCCACAACAAGGCAGTGCTGTTCTGACCCATGTTGGGGGGGCAAATGGTTCCTGCCGGGGCGGGCCAGCTAGCTGCCTGCAACACCCCCACACCCCCCCTGCCCGCAGAGCAGCCATGGGGCACAGTGGGCTCCGGGGTTGAGATTCAGTCCAGCCGTGGTTCCTGGAGTGGTTCCACCTCACTGCCCCTGGTGGGTCTCCAGCAAGAAGTCTTGCCCCCAAGCCTCTCGCCAAAACATCGAGCCGCCCAGGACGGCCGGCAGGGGTCTTCCCCACATCTCCAGCATCGAATGTCCCCTTGGGCTCCAAAATTCAAGGCCAGGAGCCGGGATGGGAGGTCTAGAGGGGCTGAGAGCTGGCCGCCTCCCAAGGACTCGACATCAACGGTCCCCGTGGTGTGGATCTGGGCTTTCAGGAGCTGACGCTGGCCTGGTCCCCTCTCCTCCTCTCACTGGTCCCTCTTCAGCCCACTCCCAGTCCCCACCTATGGACAGAGGACCCAAGCAGTCATCATATTCCCCCAGACCCTCTGCGACTCCAACATGAGGATCTGGTGGCCTTCAGTGTCGGATCCCCGTTACAGGTTGAGCGTCCCGAATCTCCAATCCAGAATGCCCCCAAATCCAAAACTTTGGGCACCCACACCACAGTGCAAATGGAAAATTCAATTTATGCACAAAACTATTAAAAATATTGTATAAAGCCACCCTCAGGCCATGCATATGAGGCGTACATGAAATCTAAATGAGTTTCCTATTTACACTTGGTCCCACCCCCCAAGATATCTCATTATGTATATGCAAACATTTCCAATTTTTTTTTTTAATCCAGAATCCAAAACACCCCTGGTCCCAAGGACTTCGCCTAAGGGGCATTCAACCTGTAATACTGGCAAGGGAGTTGGTCCCAGTTTACATGCCTTAGCGTATTTATGAGTTCGTTTTGTCCCTTGAAATATCTAAATGGTTCTGGTCAAGCAGGCACATCTAATTCAGTGATGAGCATGGTGGCCTTGGCAGACAGGGGACAATGCCTTGGCATGCTGCTTCCTGAAGTCTTTTCAACTCCATACATGCAGTGCCCAGATTTGGCTTCGAACCTCCCGGAGACTCTAGTCCTGAGCCCCTCAACCTCAGCATTATTGGTGTTTGGGGCTTGGCCATTCTTTATCACCGTGGCATCCCGGGCGTCATAGGATGTTGAGTAGCATTGGTGACACGCACCCAAAAGTTGCTAATATCCATCTCCTGCCAGTCGTGAGAACCAAATGGGTCATTGCACAGTGTTCATTGTCCCCTGTGCAGGCAGCGTCTTGCACCCCTTGGGCTGAGAACCACGGCTCTTGGACATCGGGGACAACAGGATGCCTACCAGCCACCCCAGGCCTTCCCATTATAGACCTCTTGGAGAAGAGGTGCCACTGCCAAACCGAGATTGAAGGACTTACACAGCTTCACGAGCCCCCCGCTGCACCAGAAAGATGGGGGGCTCTGTTTTGCTAAGATGCTCTGCCCTGGGTGTCCATTCTAACCAAGCCCCTGGTAGCCTGGTGCAGTCTTGCGCTGGCTCTGAGGTCCCCTTGTGCTCCCCATCATTTTTGTCACTGTGTTGTGGTTGTGACTGTAATTACCCACTCCAGGCTCACGGGTGGTTTTCTAGAAGGACCAGAGAGCTGGACGGGTCATCGTGCACGGCTGTACCCGAAGGTGTCCACTCTGGGCCTGGGGAGGCTGGGGAGGTGGCCGGAGCTGGGGTCCCCTCTCTCTCTCACACACACACACGCTGTCAGGAACTCAGATGCCCCTACCTCTGAGCTCTCAATGCTGCTAACCTGCCCCGTGTCCTGTGTGCTCGCCCCAGCACTTTCCTCAAGGACCGACGCCCACCCCGTGCCCTTTGCGAGTTCAGCGCATGCTCTTCTTCTGTATAGTTCTCATCTTCCAATTTTATGGGATGTAACAGAAGTCTACATCTGCCTGTTTGCATTATGGTTAAAAATATTAAAAAAGTGGACTCGACTCGGCCGGCTCTCGTCTTCTCTGTGGCTCGTGCTGGGAACGTCTCACGCCTCTGCCCGCTGGGAGGGCGCCCTCACAGGCTGGGTGCCCCCGGGCAGCGGGCTCTGAGGCAGGGCTGGCAGGAGGCTGGTAAAGGGGGGCTACCGGACTAGGGAAGGGAAGGGGTGGGAGTCCAGCCGGTCAGAGGGGAAACCTCAACAGAAGCCTCTGCCAATCAGGCAGGGGGGATCTAAAGATGGCATCTAGAGGGTGTCCCGGTTTGGGACTAAAGAGCCACGGTTTTACACCCTCCATCCCTGCTATAGAGGGGTAGACCAGAGGCAGCCGGGGAGGGAGGCTTTACGGTGCCCTTTGGAACATGGCCATTTGGACCCTGTGGGCATTTTGACAGCTACCCCCATTTCCCAATTATCAAAACCACTTTAGACATTCGGCTTTTTAAATTACAAGATAACTTCCCCCAGCTGGGTGCGGTGGTACACACCTGTAATCCCAGAGACTCGGGAGGCTGAGGCTGGAGGATCCTGAGGTCGAAGCCAGCCTCGGCAAAAGCGAATCCCTAAGCAACTCGGTGAGACCCTGTCTCTAAATAAAATACAAAACAGGACTGGGGATGTGGCTCAGTGATCAAGTATCCCTGAGTTCAATCCCCAGTAACCCCACGCACACACCCAGACACCCCCAATTAGACACCCATCCCTGAGCCTCATGTCCAAGGTCCTGTTCAAGATGAAGATCAGAGACAGAGCAGACTCAGGGAACTCTTTCCAGTGCCCTAATCCTTGCTGTATTAGCTCATTTGCCAGTTATAGTGGTGTAATCACCCCAGCTACTTAGGAGGCTGAGGCAGAAGGATTGTAAGTTAGAGGTCAGCCTCAGCTATTTGCAAAACCCTGTCTCAAAACAGAAGATAAAAAGGGCTGGGGGTGTAGCCAAGTGGTAGAACACTACCACTAACACAACAACAAAAAAATATACACACACATATATTTTAGTTGATTAAAAGGATGGGGAACAGTTATAAAAAGCCAGTCTTCACATGAATGCTTTGGCCTAATATCATTCCCAGTCATGCTTAAGGATGAGGAAAAGGTCAGAGAAATTCATCAGCTTGTTGCTATTCCAGACATGACTGTATTCTCCCCAGTAAAAGCCTGGGAGACTGAGACATAGGGGGATCAGATAGCTTGTACCAGTTCAATATCTAATAAATGTCTGTTTCAGCCCAAAAAACTGCATTCTTGTGCGTCATCCATGCGGCTAAGACACCCAGACTGTCTTGATTCAAATCCCAGCTCCTTCACTTCTTAACTGCAGCTTTGGATAAGTTACCCAGTGTCTCTGTTCCTCCCTTCCTTCAGCATAAATCAGGTGGTGGTTGTTGGGACTGCATCGGTTTGTGATAGGAATAAATGAGATAATACACCAATACACTGAGATGGAATGGAATAGAATGGAAAAATAAACAGGTCCAAATTCCTTCTAATTTCCTCGGCTTTTTTTTTTTTTCTTCTAGAAGTTTAAGCAGCCAGCCCCGAGTTCCTCTGTACTTTTCAGGCCACTTGCTGTCACAGGTCACCTCTGTAAAGAGGCAGTTCCTGCACCCTTCTCCCCCTCCTGACCTTGAGCCCTGGTGCAGGGGAAGACCTGGATGCCCGAGGGTTTAACCTGCTCCCCCCACGATTCCCACACACACTGGGATTGGGGCAGGTCAACCTCAGAGCCCAGATAGCCCCCCCCACACACTAGATGGCTTCTGTTGCCTGGCAACCAGGTGAAAATTTCAAGTTTACACCAAAACAGAACCTTCCCAAGCACAGATCACAGGAGAAGGGGGTGGGGGACCAGGGTGGGGGGTGGGGACGGAGAATTAAAGGACTTTAAGCCGCTGCAGATTGATCAAGAATACGGACTTTGCTGTCAGTCACATAGTAAAAATGTATTTATTGTTTTCTTTTTTTCCATCGTACCCACAATGTGGCCAAGAAAAAGAAAATGGGGAATGTATTGTCCATTGGGTGGATCAATATAGTGTTGAACCCACATCAGCAAAAGGAAGCCTCTTTACAGAGGACCCTCTGGAGGAGAGGGTGGCTCCTCTTCCTCGTGCCATAGCGAGTAGCCAGGTAAAGCAAAGTGGGAGTAAGTCTTAAGCTTGAAGGAGGCCACATGCGCTTCCCTGTAGCATCAATTAAGCATTATGCCTTGTGCAATGGAATCTCTTTTGTTGAACAAGTTTTGAGAAAAGTCACCACTGGAAATGCACTTTTCCACTGAAAGCTTTTGGCCACATCTATGTGGAGACACCTCTTCCTCTTTCCTCCAAGGTGGAGGAATTGCCTTCCTTGAAA